GCGCTTTCCTCCTTGACATTAAATAGTCGCAACAAGAAGGAGACGAGTACGGGGTAAATGATAACTGGATATGATTATAGACATCTCCTGCAATCCGCTTCAGTGAGCAAACACAAAGAAATGAGTTCGGGCCAATTTAGGTTTGTGGGAAACTGCCCACCCACCCCTCCCCTAACTCAACGTTAACGTTTGCGTCTCATTTGGGGCAAAATGTTGGGTCAGGGGAGGGGTAGGTGGGCAGTTTCGAGGTTCAGGTGGACAGTTTCATACAAGTCACTGTATGTTGTCCACCCGACCCTCGAGTTGGTGCCTTTGTTCACAGGAATGCGGGAAAGGTCTGTTAAATAACAAGATAATTTTTTTTCTGTCTCCTTGCAGGTCTTGTCACAGATTGTAGACTTTTCCTGTAAAATTGGAGAGTACAGAGAACTAACTGAAAAGTATGTCATCAGTCTGTTTTTTTTTAGAACTTCTTTCTCCCAAGCACCTGTTACGGAATACAGTCGAATTTTCCACTAACGGCCACCTCTCCACAAGGGCCACTTTTTTTGGCGGACGGTCCATACATTCACTCTTGTTTCAACCTTTCTACAACGGCCATCTCTCTACAATGCCCACTTTCTTCTGCCCCCTAGGTGGCCGTTGTAGAGAGGTTCAACTGTGGTAAGCATTTTGATGAAAGTTTAGGTTAAAATATGAACTTATTCGCGTCCATTTTGTTGCAGACTCATTCCGCCCAAGATGTTTAGGGAATGGAAAGTGCTGTTTCTTGAGGGACTTCCCATTTACGAGGACGAGGTGGTGTATCTCGCTTTTTATTCGTTGGTTGAATTCTTCTTTTAATAATCGGGAGCAAAGCCATGTATTGTGCTGGTGTTGTGTACTCTTTGTACGTTTAGCCTGTGCGTAGATACACCCTTCGTACAGTGGATGCCGAAGACTTTTCATTCGCGGTTTTCGTTTTCGGTCAAGTCTTAATCATGACCCGCGTGAAAAGGTCAAAGACGAAACAAAAAATTAATTTGTGCAAATTATTTGGGAACTCAATTTACAGCGGCGCGATACAGACGTCTCTCTCCCCGATTCTGTTTGAAGAGCGGGGTGACTGTACATAAGTTATGTATATTGTCACTGCGTGGTTTGGGTTTAGGACAAACCATAGACTTTCTCGAAGCCCTACGCTTCTCATTTCCGGTTCCGGTAGTTGGCCCCCGCGCGAGGGACGAGCTCTCGCTCTCTTGCTCGCTTTTGCAGCAGAAAAGATAAAAAATCTACCTGTCACGCTTCGCGCTCGCGAAAAAATTTGAGCTCGACTTGTAGGCAAGCGGAGTGAAATGGGCTGCTTGAGCTTTGATCTTGCTCAAGCCAGTTGTGTCTGCAGATTTATCATTTACTTTTCTATATTTAAATCACGTATTCTTTTCTCTTCGAAACGTTTCTTTTCCTTCTTTCAGCCGGTTGATTTAGCATCCAACACTGAACTCGCCAAGCTTAGGGAAATCGAGAAAGAGAAAGAAGATTTGATGGACGAGGGAGACTTCTTGGAATACAAGGTGAGTTGAAATATTACAGACCTTCAAATAAGGCACAGGATTATTTCCACTGCGGCTATGCTAGTGTTCTCGCGCTCGCGTATTTAAGAAAGCGCGCGCAACGTTAATTGCTCTTTATGACGTAAACTTTTTGAGAGAGCAAACGCGGCAAAATGCATGAAGAAGCGGTTTTTGTTTTTTCAGGAATTTTTTTTAAGGACTTTTCGCTCTCGTCCTTGAACTTGAACTACGCAAAGCTAATTCTTTCAGACGAGAGCAGATTTTCATCTGTATTGAACTTCAACGCAGGACATTCGCGCGATAAAAAAGTTATTCTGAAAGCCTCAAATTTGGATGTGCGGCGAACGAAATCACAAAATCGAAATTTGCAACTTGCATAGATTTAACTGAGGCAATGTCGGCATTAAAAGATCAACTCTATCATTTCTAAGAATAATCTTAATCAAAATTCAAGTATAAGGTACAAAATTTTTTTGATATATGAAGAAAATAAACATTGCTATGCAAGAGTAGTGCCAGCGAGGTTTTATTTGAATGGCCGGACGGAAGGATTAGAGCTCATTACATGTCTCCGCAATACACTCTGAGAGTGAAAGAGTTAACTGATTGTTCTTTTCTTTAGAATTTAGTAGGCGAGTGGACTCCAACAGAGGAGTCGGACCTCAAAGGACCTCCCAAAGATAATGCGGTTTTGGGACATATCATCCACAGACTCTTTAACATCGTTTCACCGCCAGAGGTAAGTTGAAGCTAAAGCAGAGGGAAACCAGTCGCTTCGATACGAACTCAAAAAGAGAAACTTCACAACAATTTCAACCAATTTAAGAAAAGTTTGCTCGTGAACAAGAAAAAAACATTTGGGGTGAATGACCCTCGTTCCTTATGCCAAGTACGTGAAACTATTTACACCTCGACCCAATCAACTTGATTCGTTTTGTATCGAAACGACCGGTAAATATTAAGTAGGGTCCCCTCGTGGATTTGTGGTCTGTAAAAGCATGCAGGGTGTTTATGATGTGCTTGTCTTGGCCAACTCAGTGCTGTTATGATGTGGCAGTGGGAAGCTGTGAAAGATTTCGGTATGGCTTTTAATGAAAATAACTGCGCTATCATTGTACCATTTTCATTGTTTATTCTCTTAAAGATAAAGCCCTTGATAGAAATGTCTTCGATTATTGTTAAAAGCAAAAACCAATTGCCTTCGTTTAGTTTTGCTGTATTTGAAGTTATGATGAAATGTTATTTGTTCTTCTCTTTTTTTATAGCGACCCCCACCCCCACCGGAGTTTCCTCCGTTTCCGATCAAGGTCTGTTTTCTTGGAAAGTTTTTCAGTGGGAAAACGTCAACCATCAATAAAATTCTTGAAGGTAAGAAGACTTGAATGATCGTAGGCCTCTGAGAAAGTGGTAATATCAAAGGCTCTTGAAGTAGAGCTTGTTTGGTTCAGTGGTATGAGCTGGGCGATTTTCTTAGCCTGCGTAGCAGGCTCTTGGAAGTAGGGTCGAAAGGGAGAACGGGCGCGCGCGAGGCTCCTTCTCGCGCGCCCTTTTTTTCTTGTGCTCACTACTTCCAAGCGCCTACGAGTTTCGTGGTTTGGTAAAGGGAGTTGGTCTTAACATAGGGATGGGTGGGGTTTCTTGATAATAAGCCAAATACCCTGACGGATATTTTTTTTCATTTTCTTACCTCTAATATAGAAGATCATACGATAATCATAAACAAGGCTTCTGGCTCCAAAGTTGACGTCCCAAATTGTTTGCATTGTCTATTTTGGTTCTCTTTGTATTTGGAAATCAAAATAAATGCTGTGACCCTTTTCTCTCATTGTAGGCCACAGAATGGTGCGTCTCTCCGTCGACGATCTTGTTGCTGAAGCTGTAGAGGCTTACAAAAACAACGAATGCATTGAGGAACCACCCGAAGAACTTCCCGTGCCGGTGAGAAAATTTTGATTATTTATCGCGCATTTTCCCGGGTAAAACGTCCCGCGATAGAACAAAAAATAGATCCATCATTTGCTCTTTGTGACAGGAAAGCTAAAGATCGTCTCATCCGGGAAATGTTTGCTTCTGAAATCCGGAGTCCAAGGCTTTGGAATCCGTAATTCATCTCAGGGAATCCGTAACCCCGCTTTAAACGAGTGGAGTCAGAGTCCTCTGCTGCTTCTGCTGAACTAGGTCAAGAAGGCTCTAGAAATGCCGTTTGTGCCAAATACGAAAGAGCGTGCACATTTACAGGCCAGATTTGCGTTACAAGTTGTTTTGTGTTTGACTCATAGGATGAAGACTCCTCTCCCAAGAAAGTGAGCATCCAAGAGCAGGCTGTCGGGGAGTCACAGGCTACCTCGCCACAATCAGCACTGGTTGGGGAGGTCAAGGAGACTGGAGAAGGAAAAGGTATCGTTATTTTGTTGGAGTCTTGGTACTCAACAATCAGCCCCCACTACAACGTAACAGCTCCAAAATAATAAACAATTATCTGACTAGAAATTTATTTTCAAGGGCAGTGTCTTGGTATTTGATGTTTTCTGCAAGAAAGTGCCAAAGAAATATCCCTCTAAAATTCTTAGGCTGTTTGTCATTCTATTTGCACCAGAAATTTTGTTTTGGCAAAGATTGTTTGTGCAGTATTGTTTTGGTAAGGGGATCTTTTCAAGATAACGTAGCGGTTTTTGTTCATTTCTCTCGATTATCACGAGGGTCCCCAGGGAAGGGAGCTGTTTGTACTCCCTCGGTTCATCAATGCAGACATCGTGTTCGCTATACGCGATACCATTACCTCAAAATCGCAGAACAAATGACGGAAGATTTCATTCGCGAACGACAACAAGAAAAATAGCAAAACAAATGTAGGGATAATAGGCGTAAAGACGCACATTCATACGTTAACAACAACAAGAAGGTTTTTTGGATATCGCGCGGGTTAGTGTGACAGAAATTTTAATCTCTCTTTCCTTAAATTATAGGAAGTGAAGATCCAAACAAAATCGAAGAGAAACAAACTAGTGAAACTCAAGAAAGTGAGGAGAAGAGAGATAAGACTAAAGAAGAATTGGAGAAAGAAAGTTTAGAAGCTAAGGACGACGAGAAGAAAACACCTTCGAAACCAAAAGAACTGGAGCCTGTGTCATCTAAAACGAAAGGACCTACGGTAAGTGCCTGCCTTTCTGAAAATCCTTGCAATAAGGACACCTGTCAAACAGGAAAAAGACAAGAATATATATTAAAAAAATGATCAATGAAGAGAGATGAGTTAGGGCATCTGTTTTAGTTGTCTTATTTTCGTTGTGGTGGACTGGTGGTGTCACATTTTGTCCAGAGCACAGTATTTATCTGTGAGTGTTTGTAGCGGGCTACGAGTTTAGTATTAGAAGTGGATTGCAACTTGACAATGTTATTACCAGCGCTCTGTCACCTTGTTTCCGATAGAGTCTTCAAAAATCGTCAAGAAACTTTCCAAGTCTTTTCCCTTTTTGTTTGCTTACAGAAGTCTTTTCCGTTTGCTCTCGGCCTGGTTTTCACTCAACCTCACGGTTTCAACGCCTGTATTAGGCTTCTTGAAATATTAACTTACTTTTAATATTCTTGTCGCTGCTCTATTGAAGCCGTTTGTGTGTAGTCACTGTGAGCATTACAACGACAGCAACAAATTATGGTCGCCGGGCTGAAGAGCTCTTTCTCATCTTACTTAGCTTCCAGAAGAATTCGTCTTTTTGGGCATTCTCTCAACTCAAACACAGGTGAAAGTATAACTTTGGTTTCCCCTATATTTTAACAGCTCACAACTCGCGCCAAACTTGGATCAAAGGCTTATGGTTTCCTGAAAAAAGGGAAAGCGACCCCAGACCAGTTGTTGGTCGACATCATGGTTGAAGCCGTCAGGTAAGCATATCTTCTTTTGTAGCCTCCGAACAAGCTCTCCACGGGGCAGTCGCGAGAAGTCACTCGAGAGCCGCACGCAAAAAGAGACGCGCACGTTCTCTCGCAGCTTGCTGCGCTCGCCACAATTGTAGGGTACTACGTTTTTAGATCAGGCTCATATTCCCTATTCTCTCACTGATGGCAGGGGTCACCTCTCATCTGATTTTTTATCACCTATTGAGGGGCAATAGATTGGTGCAGGCCTTTTGTACTTTTCTACGTTCAGCTAAGTCCGGGGCTGGGTTCGAAGATGGAGTTGGGGATGCTGTGCCAGGATAATTCAAATAATCATTTGATTTACGACCAAAATAGGCGATTTTCTAAACCCGTTTTTACGCCTGCCTTCTGAATGCTGCGGCTTTCAATTTGACATCCCAGTGGTCTATTCTGATTTTGAGTACCTTGAAGTGTGGTTAGTCGGGTTTATATCACTTAGAATGACAACTCTTTTTCGTTTGAAACTGAAGAGAGATAACGATGGTATTTTAGTTTCTGGTCTCGAGATCCTAACAAAGACAAGATTTGTCAAAATCTTAGCCCCGTCAGGCTCTCGGATAGTAAAGGCGTGGCGAAAAATAGGTCTAGGGTTTTCACTATCGTTGCACATGACTATCTTGGAACCTGGAACAGGCTGTCAAAATCTGTGTTCGTGTAGTCCGTTTATGTTCATCACAGGCAGGAGATTTTCATTTTAGAGGCTGGCCAGCAAAGACTTTTTTTTAGTTTTCCCTGATAACAGTAATATGATTCCTTTCAAAGGCAAGTACCTGATGGGACTGGCTGGATTATGGACGGGTTTCCAGGTACTATCAACCAGGCCAAGGTAATTGTTTAGTACTAACAAGAGATCAGGCTCTATTTTCGTTTCGCTTGGTACATAAAATTCTGGCGATTAGTTAAGAGAGAATGTACGGAAGCTGCTAAAATTGGGCCTGATCTCAGGTCAGTTTAATACTAATTTTCTTCTATCACGAGAATAAATTTCCTTTTTTTTAGAAGCCATTAGCTTGATTGCGTGCCTGATACCAAATAGTAACAATGCTTCTGGGCCTGGTTTCTCGAAAGATGGTAATGTTTGTTCCAGGGTTAAGCCAAAGTTTAGTTTTCTTGTCGAGGAATACGTCGAATACCTGTTGCGGTAACACAAAGTGACACTTAAAAAAGTCTATAGGAAGGCAAATACAACCGTGGATTACATTTTTAAATCGTAAATTGGTGTTTACTCGCCTTCAGAAACCAAGTTCCAGATGTCTTGCTACGAAATTAATCCCCATTCTGTCCATTTGGGACGTACTGAATTCTTAATGTGTTTACAGAATCCGATTTCGCTCTTATGGGCTCAACCATTTTTTTATTGCAGTTGTTGGAGAAAGCTTTAAGTGGATATGATGCACAGAAAGAAGCAAAGGATGCTAAAGCTGCTAAAGAACCCAGTAAAGTTAGCAAGACAAGGAAATCCCGCCTCGCACCAGACCCCCATCCACCTACTGAGGTATGTAGCCTATGTGGAGACGTACCCTCCCCTGCTGGAGGGGGGCGGGGATGTACGGCTAGACATAGTCATGGGTTGAAAAAAGCAAAGCGCATTCGAGCCTTTCAACAAAACTTTGAGTGTTTGGATATTGGATGAAACACTCTTTCTAGTGTTTCCCTTGCCCTAAGGTGGTGACATGCGTGGTTTTTCTACTGTTTGGAAAAGCAATTCAAATACTTAGTGGTTCTTGAAACACTTAACAAATTCAAACTTTACAAAATTTAATTAATGCCAATGAGAATCCGAGTTGAAAACTTCCTTCATCGTACTTTTTAATTTTCCTTGGTTTCCACGTCATTAAACAAGACAGTTTTGAGAAACGTAGGTTATATAACATGGAACAGTATGTAACCAGAATGTTGATTCCTCTCCAGACCCCTGCGCCCAAGAGCGGCATTGACTTGGTGTTGCTATTCGACCTGTCTGATGACATTGCGTTAAAACGAGCTGAAGGAAGAACATGTAAGACTCAACAAGAACTTTTTTCATCTCCACCGCGGTTAAAGTGATAAAATCATTTAGTTGGTGCCATGTAATAGTTATGAAGACACGCTTAACATCTTTGTGGGGAAATGTTGTTGCAAAGTAAAATATGTTTTAAAATCTTTGTGGGGAAATTTTGATGCAAAGTAATATCTTTTTAAAATCTTTGTGGGAAAAATTTTGTCGTAAGGTAAAATCTTTTTAAACTCTTTTTGGGGAAAGTTTGGTTGCAAAGTTTTACGAAGCGTAACCATCCGTCAAAACTAGATTTTTCTTGGCTGCTTTTTTTTCGTTAACGTACGTAACGCAGTTCGACGTTCGAAGTTCGTCCCGTGGTGCTGTTTGCTTTAGGCCGCGTTTGTATGGAGTAACGATGTCCGCGGTAGAAAGGTCACTTACCTACACGAGCTATTCTGGATGAGCCAACTCTTCGTTCATTTCCTTACAAAATGTGGTGAACCGTTAACATGAGAAACAAAACTTTGAATCGGCTAAAGGGGTGACCCACCTACAGTGTAGGTCCACATAAATACTTTGGCTCCCCCAGTCAACTCGGTCAAGGCAAGACAATTGGAGCACGGAGAGCGCTGTTTTAGACTATCAGAGAATGCGCGAGCGCTGTTCGGCTGGAAGAGAGGGGCAACTTTTTTCTCATACAAGTGCTCGCTTAATAAGTTGACTGGACTGGAAAGGTGGTATTGAAAGGAATTAAGGTCTATACTTAAGATGTGTGTTGTTTTTAGATAATCCCTCGACATCTGATCTGTACCATCAGGAATACAATCCACCAGTGGAAGGTAGCTACACAGGAATCAACAAACAGGAGAAAGTTGTACCCGTTTCTGATCCCTCCAACGATCGCGAACAAGTCCAACAAAGGTATGTGGTCATTTTAACACACTGACTGTAATTATTCTCCTCTACATCCTTTTCCAGTTAGAGCGTTTTTGTGATAACTGCCCGGTGATGTTATTAGATCAGCTTCGGTTTCTGGGAAACTGCCTACCTACCCCTCCCTTAAGCCAACATTTTGCCTAAAGTGAGAAGTAAGAAATAATGTTGACTCAGGGGAGGGGTAGGCGGGCAGTTTCCCACATTCAATTCAGTAGAGAAATTGTTGAAACGAAAGGAGTATTGTACTGTCTAGTAGTGTCTAACCCCTCAGTGACACTCACTCTTTCTTGTATGTGCGATCTACTTAGAGTTACCATACTTAGAGTTGCATACTGTCGTTATTGCTTAGAATCTTTGGCTTCGTGGACGGCTGGCCTAAGCTGGAGAAGTGGTTTACAAAGTTCGGAATTTTTCAAAGAATAGATGCCAATACTAGTCAAGGTACGTGTAACAACAAGACTGTAGTTTCTATTGTTATCACTCCTTCTCTTTCCCTGCCCCCCCCCCCCCCCCCCCCGTTCGTTCCAGTTCTTGTCAATTTTATCGATTCTTCTGTCTTGTCTATCATGATGCTATGACATCATCATTCCAGTAGTTCACTCTAGCGTCACTTATAAGATTATCCACTTTCGTTTTTTGTGTGTGTTTAGAGCAATTGTATGACGAGGTATCCGGGTTATTGAACGAAACTTACCAGAAGCTTATTGCACCTCCCGAAGAAGCTCCATCTGTAAGTAACCATTTGAAGAGTTTCTATGAACACGTTATATTTTTGGGCATCTTACGGCCGCATTAACGCAATTATGAAAATCAAAAGGTTGAGTCAGATTTCGTTTATAGCCAGTGTAACCAACTTTAACAACTCCTCCTTGTGGCTGTTTCCGCGAGCGAGTTAACATGAAGCGAATTCTGTGTTCTGGTTGGTTAACCGAGCGGGCAATATGAAGCGAATTCTGTGTTCTGATTGGCTACTCGATAATACAAGTAATTTGAGACAACGTGGCCTTTTCCACGTCAACGAAAAACAAATGTGATCAGTTGGTGGTGTCAGTGTCTCTGAGTGATAAGCTACAAACGAATCTTTTGCTAAAATAGGTGTTGTTGATTGATTTTTCCATAGGAACCTTCCGTACAGCCTGGACCTACAACTGAAGGTAACAATTGTGTAATAAATAAATAAATATTTATGGTTCTTATTTCTGCGCTGTGGTTTCGCACGAACCTATGGCGGTGTTGTTTCAAATTGCATTGTGGGACTGTTATAGGTATTTCAAAGCTGCGCAGGAGATTTGTTCAAAATTCTTCCCCCAAAACAATTCCATAATACAATTTGGCCCACATATTTCCAGCATCAAGCGTAACCGCTGTGTATCACTGTACACAAGAATCACTGAAGACAACAGCTTTTGAATTCCTTTTCAACGTACCATTGTATCAAATGAATGTGGCAGATAAAACCAAGTTTTTATGGACATAAAGTGTTTTTCGTTTCCTAGGCGAGCAACCGACTGCAGCTCAATCCACACAGGGGGAGGTTCCTCCCATTGAGGGTGTGGGAAGTGAGAGCGCAGCTGCGCCCCCTGAGACTGTCCCTGCACCGTCCGAGGCCCCCTCTGAAGCAGGTGTCAAGTCCGAAAGCAAATCTGAGAAGGGGACTTCGAAGAGTAAAGGAGATTCCAAACCAGGTATAGACAATGAATGACGTAGAAAAAGAGAGTTTTGTGCTCTCTTTAATCAAAAATAATACTTTGATATTGCTCTGATTTATTAATTGTGCCCTGTGAGGCGCTATTTAGAATTTTATAAAGAATACCGCATTTTACAAGAATCTTACGAGGTATTCCTGTTAGAATTCTTATGCATGTTCTGATAGTGAAAAGAATGCCAGCCTGTCTTGATTGAACGGCTTTCTCTGCATTTTCTAATTCTAATTAACAATGTATTCTCTTAGTTCTCATTACAGTCACCCTGGCGTGATGGTCGCGTTTTCTTATCCCGGAATTTCCTAATTTTCACTGAAGCCTATTAGTAACAGTCTGTTGCACTTGTGATTTATCTTAGCTGCTTTATCAAAGTAGTAAAGGGCGCCACCGTTGATAGTTATTAATCAGCGTGCAAGAATGACCTTATGTCACTGATTTTAGCCAATCAGAAACTTTTTTTGCTACTAAGTGCCTTCACATTTTAGTACCACGTGCCAAACAACAACAACAAGCAACATCATTAACCGCAAAGAAAACATAACACAAACAAACTTGTACAATCATCAAATGTTTTTCATAATCAATGTGCTCTTACTGTGTTTCTTTTAAAGGTTCACCGAAGTCACGAAAGAGCAAAAAAGATCGTTCACCCTCCCCACAGGCGTCTAAGAAAGGCACGAAAAGCCGCAGCCCCACCCCTCCTAGTTCTAAGAAAGGCTCAAGATCTGGTTCGAAGTCTCCATCGACATCAAGGAAAGGCTCACGGCCTGGATCCAAAAGTTCAAGACCAGGATCGAAGAGAGCCAAGTCTCCGAGTACGTAACATTATCAAAGTAGAAACGGGACCTTGTTTTCTTAAAATCGCCACCTTCAATTAAACAAGGAAGCTTATGAACAGTAGAGCATATCATACCCATAAACGTAACTAACAGAAGGCTAGTCTTTTGATTGGTGCGTTTATTCGAGAGAAGTCTGTTCTTTTTCTCGCAGATAGGAGAGGGACGCATCTTTTTGCATGTAACAACTTTCCCACGCACTCGTGTGTTTGATTCGCTCAAACAAAAAAAACTCCGAGGAAAAGAAAGTACCACTTTTAGTTTAAGTAAATCGATATTTTTCTGCTGAAGGCTTGAGAGTCATAATTTAAGTCTTCAAGTAACTTTTAATAATTAGTGAATCCTTGATCGATTGTTTGTAGAAAAGGGTGCTGAAGAGGTTGAAGAGGAAAAGCCTCCTGAACCACAAGGACCTCCCGAGCCGGAACCTGGGTCAGAGGACTGGGAATATGTTGATCAGCCTATTGAAGTGGTTTGTATTCTGATTAGTTTTTACTCTTAGCTTCAGCGTCGCCGTTACCATCGTCATCATTATCACTATCACTAACACCACTGGTCATCATCTTCATCATCCGCATTGTCGTCGTCGTCGTGTCGTCGTCTTGCCGTCGTCGTCGTGTCGTCGTCGTCGTCGTCGTTGAGGTCCTCCTCCTCCTTCTCATTATGGTCATCGTCAACGTCATCATCATCATCATCATCATCATCTTTATCATAATTATAATCTTCATATTTATTTATCTTCATTGTCCTCCTCCTTTGCCCCTCCAGAAACGCCGTCGCCACTAAGCTATTACACGCTTCCTATATGTAAATTCCAGTTGTTACAGAAACCATCAGGCAATTTTTCTCTCGATTTTGACATCTGGTCTTTTTACAGGATTTTGCTGGTGTTCTAACCAGCCAGTGGGAGAACTCGGAGGAGACATACATCGATTCGTGTAAAAAGGTGTTTGGAGAGATAAGACGCGAGAGGGAACTGATTCACAGATATTTCTACGGCACAAGGTTTGAATTGAGAAACTGTTATTACTCATAGGAGGAAAAAGGACGACCAATTTAAATCACACCCGGAAGAAACTCTATATTTATCATGCTGTCCAAGTTCGCTTTACTTTTGCTTTGTTGGTGAAATGTTAAGGTGTGATCATTTAGCCGAAAGCTATACTCAGGAATGCTTTTCTGTGGTCCTGTTTATTATAATATTATACGACGGAGTTATTTTTCTAGTCAAATCTGTGTCTAGTCTAATTCTCTTCAGTATAGAGGAGGTGAAAAAACCTAACGTCCTTTTACTGTCACATTCATTTATGCATTATGTTGTTCCCTTACCAGGAAAGATTTCGTACAATTTTTAAAGAGACCAGACGAGAAACAGGAATACGTTCAACAATGGCAAAAGGTAACGTGAATGAGCGTAGTTTTTGACTTTCCAATTTGCTTGCAGTGTTTTTTTCAGTCAGTAGAGTAGGGAAAACTGAACAGACAAGTCAAAAGGGCTGGAGACAGTGAACGATCTCGAGAGAAACTGGGATCTGTTAGCGTAAACGCCACCCCAGTATACTTCAGCTTGGCCACAAGACAATCTCTAAAGATACTCTATTCTATTTCCTGGTTTTTTCCTTTTGTTAGTCGTACAACGAAGTTGCCGAGGACATGAGAGGAGATGAAGACACCAAGGCTGAACTGCATCAACAGCTAGACGTATGTTACATTAGTCATGTCATATTTTTCAATATTTGTGTTTTTGCCAGTTTTTCACCTCAGTTTGGCTGCACCGTAGAAGAAACCGGATTCAACGTAATTTTAATAATTACCATTATTCTCGTGTCTTTATGTGATATATATTCTCTTACTGATGTATGAAAATATTTAACTAAATTCGACCTGTTCGAAACAATGTACTGCATGTCATGAAAGCTATTAATCATCGTGGATATTGTGTTGTCTTCAGGATCTTTGCGATCGGCTGTACGACATTTGCGACAACCGTAAGGAGATGGCTGAGAAAGAGCGGCAATCAGTAATGAGTGAAGGATGGCTGGAAGATCGGTTGGGTCTCCTCACTAACTTCTACGTAACACTCATGCAAGCTGAAGTGGACAGATACCAAGATACTGTTAGGCTGCTTAGGGATTACTACGTCGGCATGGAAGGTACCGGAGAGAAATAAGCTAAAGCCCTGCGAATGACTGTCTCATCCTTAAATAAGATGGGTTATATATCATGCTCAGCACACTGGATATTGAGAGTGAGGGAAGTCAAACCCTTGCATAAGAGCGTCTCCCCCTGAAATAGGCTGGGGCTTATACCAATCAGTGGCGGATCTAGGGGAGGGGCCCGGGGGGCCCGGCCCCCCTTATTTTTAGACCAAACTGAGGCCCGAAGGACCGAAAAAAAGTTTTTTGGAGACCGGGTCCCCCCTTTATCTAAGGGTCTGGATGACCACCCCCCCCCCCCCCCCTTATCTCAAGGTATGGATCCGGCACTGCCAAAACACCTTCAGTCCGCTGCATCATTAATTACCCTACAGGATCGTATGGAAGATTCTGCAGGAGATAACAAAACCTCGGCACTATGGCCGTATACGAGGACAATGTCAGATTGTTCCGACGTTTCTTTGATTGTATGGAAGGTATTGAGGGCATAGTACTGATAGTGGATGTCTATGCTTTTCAAACGTCTTTCTGTCTCAGCTGTTGGGGAATTTTAATGATATGTGTACAGTTGAACCCTGTTTAAACTTACAGAAATGGGTAAGAGCTCGACCAACTTCAAAAATGCCTCTTTTGGGCTTAATAAAACTAAAAAGCAAAAGCAAAAGTTTGTGGCAGTGGCATAAAAGCGTAAAGATGGGAGAAAGATGATTGTTTTTGTCTTGAAAAGCATAGTTTTTGAACGCTTCTTTTACTTTTAGGTAAAATACCAAACGAAGCCATCTCTGAGTACGCGCGCTTACCACTTGTTGAACTACCGCTGACTGTAAGACCGCAGTCTGCATCGTCTAAGTCAGGAGGAAGCGAGAGTGTGACAAACCTAACAGCAGCTGAAAAGACTGAAGTGAAGAGTCCATCAGGCAGGAAAGAAAAGGAAAAAGGAGCTACAAAGACCCCTGAACCCACAGAAACACAAGAAGAGGAGCAAAAACCTCGGTAAGTTGCGCTACCTTTGATCCTAGTCACTTGACCAATTAGTGAGTTGATGTCTCTGTAGCGTGACGTGTCTTTATAGGAATGTACTGTTGAGTGACTGTGTGACAGCGTGACAGTAGCGTCCCATAGTGCGACTCACTGCTATTGGAGTCGTCACCAGAGTAACGTAACATGATACTGGCTGACTCTGATTTCACAGTACTCTTATTAAAGGCTCATTCGTAAAAGGCGGTGCCGGTGTAAATAGAGGGAGCTCTGTCAGTCTACTCTTTTCCATAACAGCTGGGCGTGCTTATCGGGGTTTTTTTGGTACTTCTTCGCAGCATCCCTTTAGTGCCCAGACGCCCCAGATCTGGAGAACCAGGTACCGGGAGAGGAAAGGACAAGAAAGGGGACAAGAAAAAGGGCCAAGCAGCTGACCCTGACAAGCCTGAGACGCCCGTGCCGCCTTCAGACCCGGATGAAAAAGTAAGCGGCCAACTAACCTTCTTTTAAAGAGTAACAGCCTTTCCCGGACTAATTACAGGTTCCAACTAACAGACTATTAGCCTTGCTCAATCGAAGGAATTGTCATACTGTAAAACTGCTTTAGATAATCTCCAGCCTTTTAACCAGTTCTGCTCGCACCTCCTGTATATTAGCTGATTGCAATCCTTAGCTCAATCAAAAACAGAGGACATTTGCAAACATATTTGGGCCATACTAAACAGCTATCGTCTGACTTTCACAACAGTCAAGTTCTTCATTTAAACCCTTGACGTTAGCAATTACTAATTATGCTTGACGTAAGGTTGTACCGAACTGGCGCCAGACGTTTTGCGATGGTCTACAATTTTTCGTGGTTTTTGTAATCGATTCGTGAACGTTGTAAGTCATCAATCTCTAGAAAGATCTTCGTCTTCTAAGTGTATTACTACATTCAATAGAAGATCTTGAGTATTTGTAACGTTTGGGTCTGTACACATTTTTCGGTATCTAACCAGACAACTTTTAAGAAATGATTCTTTAACTTTCATGTTTTCAAGTAATTCGTTCCTTTTTTTTTTCCGCAGCTGGTCTTCGATGCGTATATTGTGGCTCTGACGATAATAGAGACCATGGTGAGTAGTTGACGTTAATCCTTTAAGTATAACAGGAAAAAAAACGTTTAAAAGTTTGCCTTACTACCTAAACGCCAGATGCACTCTTTCGTCATTCTCACGGAACTCAACAACGTAATTACTGCAAGCCCCCAGGCGAGCAGCATCCTAATTTTTGTGTGTCCTGTGATTTCTTGGGAGTCCTGTCGCTATATAGTCGTCAGGATCTTTATTTTTGTTTGTCGTAACACTCTTATTTGTAATGTCGCTTAGTTTCGCTCATTGTGGTACGCACAATCATTTTCCAATTATAGGCGCAGAGAACTCGATGTTGTAGTACTCCCTTGTATGCTTGTATTCAGCCACTATTAATTGACCCAACAAAAAGGTCTGTAATAAGCAAAATGAGTATTGTGTGTACGTCCACCAGACTGCTAGCAAGCTCTCCTTTTGGTGGAGTCGCGAGAAGTCACGCGAGAGCTCACTCACGCGTACTCTCGCGGCTCGCTTCCCTCGCCATGAATGGAGAGCTAGCTAGCGGGCTAACCAGATTTTTACCCCAGCGGCACAAGTAAGTAGACTTTGGAGTTAATTTGTGTTCCTGTTTTCTCCTTACCAGGCACAAATAGACCAGACGGAACAAGAAGCCGAGGCTATAAGACAAGCAGAGCTTGAAAAAGAGAAAGAGCGCGAAGCATTACAGAAGAGAGCAAAGGAAAAGAAGGACAAGAAAGGAAGAAGGAGTCCAGGAAAGGGTGGATCACCTTCCAAGACTGAGACTCCTCCCCCACGTATGTGCTATTTGTTATCTTATTCCTTTCAGGTTTGAGGCGCGTGAGACTGGGTCGGTGCTATATATGTCAAATTGCATCATGGGACTGTGGATCATGGGGACAGCGGATGCTATCGCCTCTGTATTGGCTATTACAAAATTGCGCGGGAAACTGGGTCAAAATTCGTCCCTCAAACGGTCCCAGTCTCATGCGAAACAACAAAATTTGAAGTTGCACGTGAGACTGGGTCAGTGCTATGTCAAATTGCATCATGGGACTGTTTTGGGGATGCTATCGCGTCTTTTATTGGCTGGGTTAAAATTTGTCCTCCAAACAGTCCTACAGTGCAGTTTGGCACCGCACTGTCAAAGTCTCCGCCCAGATTGCATTATTGAACTGTCTTGGGCTATCTCTTCTTTCATTGTCTATATGATGCAAAGTTGTCCACGAAAATGGGTCAAAATTCGTCCGGGGGGAGGGGGGACAAGGAGTGTTATGGGAGATGCGCGAATGGCGAATGAAAGGCTAGGGGAACAAACAGGAGAAGAAGTTTAAAATCGTGTTCTTTTATTCACGCCTTTTAGACTTATATTTTCTACAATTATATTCTTTACTTTACAAAGCGCCCCCAGAGGAACAGGAAGGTCAGTCTGAAGAGGAACAACTCAAACAAAAGACAAAAGAGAGAGCAAGGAAAGAATTCCTTGGAGCAGTTGCCTCGGAAGGTAAAAATAATTGTTAAATGTGGCTAGGTATTTCGATTCATTGCGCGCGCATTTTCGCAAACAGCTCGCGCAAACTCGAGTGTTCTCGAAGGTCTCGTGCCGTGAAGTACTTTTATGACGTTTTAAAACACTTTCAACACTTTTGTGCATGAATGCTAAGAAACTGGTGATTCAAAGGAAGTGTGCACCTTTCAATGGCGTCTATGCCCGTTTGTGTTGTATTGCATGTTTTGTTATACTTAAGCGTTTTTCGTTGTTATATTTTGCATCTCTTTTTTCCCATATTTTTATTGGCAGATGGTGGATTAAAAGCTCGTCTTGAGATGATCAAGAACCATGCAATTACGGTACTTCAAGAGCTTAAGGTAAGATTTATTTCCAAACTTTTTCTTCAAACAATAGAGCGTTCTACGGTGAAGTGTTTAAAACGTAAAACTCTGACCAATCACAGCGCAAACCTATCTAGCCACTTACCAATCAGAGCTTGAAGAAAATCCCAAAGCGCGGGAAACGCTTATGAACAAAACACATTTGGTAATGGCTTTACTCCTCATTAGTGGAAAAAGTGACTTTCAGCCAATCATATCGTGCAGCATTACAAAACCCAAGGAATGTTTCACGTTGCCTCATAAAGTTTTTTTCGTTATCTACTTCAATTCAGGGAAAGGCCGACTCGACTTACAAGGACATGGATGATTGGTTAGGAGAGAGGTTTCTACAGGAGGTGGAAAGGTAACTTGTGATAAAAATGTTAAAGTGAATTACGTCACAAGCATCAAGGTCCAATTTTGTCACCGAAAAATTAACATGGCCTGTTGTTAATTGTTTTAGCATCAAAGAAATGGCGGAGAATGTGCGGTTTGCTCTCGAGAAAGAAGAAAAGTTGCAAGAAGAGGTTCTCCTCGAGGACAAAGACTTCATCGTTGATTTGGTAGAAGTAGTTTCTTTTCTTTGAACAGTTATGGATTCCAATTTGAGTGACATTTTGACCTGCTGTGTAAGGTTTGCTTTGCTAACAATGGGACGAGTTTACACTAGTTACCGTAATTTTTTTCACGTATCGATGAAACGTTTTTGCTTTATTTGCCTTTCTCCATTAAGAGGCTTCTACAGTATAATATTGTTGGCCTTTTCAACAAATCCTCATACGTTCATAATTGCTGTGAATGTTTCATAGACAAAAAGACCTTCGTGATACTTTTCTCACGGGTAGCAATTTCCACGTGCGGTCGCGCATTTCACTTCTACTATCCCGAGGGAAAGTGAGGGACTACCCGTAGTCTATGGACAAGTACTTTTCCCGTGTGTGACATATATACGCGAATTTAGGCTTTAAACGAATTTTCATGAACACTATCTTTGCTGGTTTTTATCCAGGACACCAAGACCTTCAAGACTCCCACACCGCCCCCTCCTCCAAGCCCTACTGAGGTACCACAGAGTGATATCTTCACTGTGGCCCAGTTGCTGAACCTTTACCGACAGGTTTGTAAATGAATTTTATTCCACTTGATGACCACATCACCTGTAACCACGGCTAGCTGCTTCTTATTCACTTCACAAATTTTCGTGTTTTTTTCCTCCTTTTTTGCAGCTTGTGAAAACGGCTCCAAGTGGTGTCATCTCTAATCGCGCCTTTTGTGATACGATCATGGACATGACTGCAATTACGGTGAGAGCTCAGCTTTTATATTTATTGAGCTCTATTGATGTGCTTAGTTTTTGATCGCAGTGGTTCAAGAAGAAGCTAAAAGAGTAGCATGCGTGACAAGCGTTTCAGGGGGAAACGAAAAGGGGAATTAAGGCGTAAGGCGCGAGGAAGGAGATAAGAAAAGGATCCCTTCCCTCCTTCTGCGCGCGCATTTCATGTTCTCGTGCGCTTTAACTGCCCCTTACCCTTTTCCTTTGCCAGGCAGGCTACTGAAACTGAAAGAGCATGGTTAGATGGTAGAGTGACAGAGTTAAAAAGCACTACCTTCCTGTAATGTCTGCCAAGTTTAGAATTTTCCTGGGCTCAAACTGAGCAATGAGGACGAAATTAACTTATACAATGTACAGAATTTGATTTATCTCTTTTCTCTCTTTGCAAGAGTTGCACGGATAAAACCTCCATCTACCCATTCGCTTCAGGGAGAAGTCAACTTTCGCCAAGACTTCTGGGATTATTACTAGGGACAATCCCAGAAACCATTGCGGGTCATATCTCGGCTCCAGTTCCCTTTTCCTTTCTAAAATGGCGTGTCGTCTGTTCCTTCTCTCGATTGAATCATCGTCAGTCTTTTTTTATACGTCGAAGGCCATCTACACGTGTCAGTAAAGTGCTTGTTGTTGTTTTGTCATCCTTTTTTAATGACTGTTTTTTTAATCACAGTACGGGATGGAGTTGCTTCCGGACTCGTGGATGAACATAACTCAGCAACAGGTGAGATTCAATGAAACATGAGATTGAGTTTAGCTTGTGTTGAGAACACCCTTGGAGGTAGAAATTGTCAAAGGAGTCGGTTGTCAGTCAGCGCAAAGTGTCACAGGAGATTAACCCTGAGGGAACACTACTGTGACCGGGAATGGCTGTCTGTATCCCTTCTGGAACGCTGGCCATTATCGTCCCTGTGACGTTTCATTCATATGCAACCAGCTTTGGTTTATCGTTGATTCACTACGACACGAAAGAGGTCTATTAAAACAGAGTTCACTCACACAGAGGCTCAGGGGAGGGTGGCCCGTAAAATGTTAGGGATGGGAGGGTGGGAGTGAAATGAATAAAATGTGTAACTGGGGAGGGAGGGCTTCAACGTCGGCTCTAAAATTGAAAGCTGACACATACTTTATCTCCTTTTGGTTGGAGTAAATTCGATCCCAGTCCCCTATAGGGTGCGTTCTTTTGGGATAATCCGGATCATGAGCAGTGATCCGAGATCACTCGGATCATGGTAGATCAAATGAACCGATGAATCCTTGTCCAGAGTGGATTCATCAGTTCATTTGATCTAACGTGCATGATCCGAGTGATCTCAGATCACTGATTCTGATCTGGATCATCCCAAAGGAACACACCCGTAGATTTCACCAGAACGCTCTGAATCCATAGTTTTTTAAGGATTTCAATCAGTTCCTATCTTTTACGTTTCTAACTACAGTTGAATACCTTGATTACAGCTTCAAGATGTGAGCACAGTGCTTGCTTTAGAAACCGAGTTTATCGACTGGCGGAGGTTTCTGCTCGCCGCTGCGCAGCCCTGGCCACCAGCATCAAAGATGGATCTTTTGTTGACATTGGAGCGCTGTAGAGAGGTGGATACGAAGCTTTCGGGGAGACTAACACAAGACGAGTTTGGACAGGTGTGACCCTTCTCCCTCCGCAGATTTAAGAGTTAGAACCACCTTTGTTCGGAAAGTACTGCTCAGCAGCTTTCATTTGAATGGTAACACTTTGGGATTTTATCCACGGACTCAAATGTTAAAACCACCTAGTATAGTTCTAGCCTTCAACTCTAGTATTTCGCTTGCAAAATTAAAAGCTAAAACCACTTTGCCCAGTGTAATAAACAACACCGCAGGGAATTACTGCTCAGCAGTGTTTGCTTGAATTACACGTTCTTACAGTTTTCAAGATAGCACTTTACTCTAGATCTCCTAACTTTGTAGGACCTGGGGGCCGTTGTTTGAAAGTCCCGGTCACGTTTTTGGCCCGGAAAGCTGTTTTGTGTTTGCCGTTTTTGCATTCACGATCAACGTCTCAATAATTTTGAAAATGATACAATAAAACTATCAGTTAACAAAGCAAAATTGAATAGGTTGTGAGCTAGTAACTGTGCCACTATTCAACAGGTTGAATAGTGATTGATTTTAACATTTCCCTTCGGGTGCGAAAAGTTTCCGGATCTTTTGAGAAACGGGCCCCTGCACCTCCAAAATAGGACGGTATTGTCAGCACTATGGGGCCTTTTCCTCTTAACAAAATCTAGAATGTCTGTGGTTGGGATATCTGTATTTTAAATGAAAATGCCATTGCCTGTTTACCGTTTTAAATTCCCGTGTAGGTTGACTTGTGGTTTTTTGACCAAGAAGAGCTTGAACATCCACAAGACCCGGATGTACCGCCTGTTTTTGACAGACAAGGGAAACTGAAAAATGTGAGTAGACCGTGAATGGCAGTGGCGGACCTTCAAATAAGGGAGGGGGCGGTCTCAAAAAAACTTTTTTTCAGCTGTTCGGGCCTCAGTTTGGACTAGAAATAATAGAAATAAGGGGGGGCGGGTCCCCCGGGCCTCTCCCCTGGATCCGCCACTGGGTGGTTTTCAGTCGCGATCTGTTTCGCCCCGTGTCCTTAAGGGAATCCGGATTCCGGAATCTGAGAAAATTTTGACATGTAGAATCCGGAATTCGGGAAAATTTTGCTCGTGGAATCCAGAATCCTGAGCTTTGGAATCCAGAATCAGCTCAAGGGATCCGGAATCCTACTAACGATTGGAATCGAGAATCCAAGTTTCACTGGAATCTGGAATCCGGAATCCGGAATCCGGGATCCGGGATCCGGAATCCATGTTATCCGGAATCCGGAATCCGGGATCCGGGATCCGGAATCCATGTTATGCGATCCAGAATCTAAGGCTGTCTTGGATTCCTTACATGGGACGACCTGTCACTAAACTAAGACCATTACTAAACACTAAAATAAACACTAAGGACGTAAAATAGACAATAATAAGTACATACTCTCGTTGTTCCTTTCTAAAATTATACTAAAAGACGTAAAGCAGCGTTTCTAAACCTGCGAACATTTTCACCGTTCCTGACTTTTAAGAGGCAGTCCCGCTAACAGCGGTCCGATCGATTTCGCGTCAGAAAAAAGTCTCCCTTTAAACTTTGTACACTAAAAGGGTTTGGTATATAAGTAATAAAAATGATTTTCTTTTTTGCAAATAATATATTTCCGCTTTCCCACAGGCGTGATCACGTCCGGGCCAATTCGTCTCCTCCAGAGCCCGATTTAAAGACCGAAAATTGTCGTTTTTGAAGGTCGCGTCATATCGAAACTACAGATAATTATAAAGTATCTTTTACACCAGCTGTTTCCACTGCCTTTTATTGACAAATGTGCAAACTATCGAACTTTTTGATAATTTTGCAGAAAATCTGTAAGTCCCGAAAGACACCACTCTGAACAGGTCGCCCGACTGCCAAAAAACATGCTCAGATTCGAGAGCTAAAATCTCAATTGTGGGACAAAAATCTGATATGAAATTTATATCAAGATCAAGGTATTACTTCATTTTAAGAGGTTCTAAAGTCAAATCTGCGGGTATCCGCCTGCACACGGAGCAGCGAGAAGGTAAATTTGGCCATCATGGCACTTTGTTTACAAAAATAACTCTGACTCTTTAATTAGTATCATATATTTATCTACTCGACCGATCACTCGCTTGACCGAAAAAATATTCACAGCTCTAAAATTTGCTTAAATGTTTCCTCAAAACCTTCAAATAAGCGCTTTTTTGTAATTTTATTTGAAAATCAAAAAAGGCGAAATATTTTAGGTTTATAGAGCTAAGGTCAAAGAAACCACTATTGCTTATATGCAAATTAGCTGGTTGTCACGCAATACCTAACCAAAGTGGATGAGAAAGCAGAGTTTGTATCATGGCGACTCGTTTTCTAAAAACACGAGAATTTGGAGACTGTGGGGAATTTCGAGGTATAGCTGAGCGTGTGTGCTTAGATCAATGTAGGAACGATTTAAGTCAACAATTTTTCCCGATGTCATTTGAGTCGAGGGCGGATTATGGAGAGAGAACACAATTCTGTCTGCAGAAGATAAAATCGTGGGAACGCTCGTTCGAGATTGGCTAGCTTAGCCGTATTTGCGTTGTAATAAAAAGGCGACATGCCTTGTTCCGCCCATCCTCTGAGTACTCTAAAAACACCCCAAGGGACGGACCATTAGAGAAACTAAATTGTTGGTAACAATATAAAGGAGCATTTGTATACAGGAAAAAAATACCCAAAAAGTTCAAAAACGTGAAAAAATGTTGTCGATCACCTCCCCAGTCACTTTTTATATATTTGTGTGTCCCAAACAGCATTGCGTTCAGACTTGCAAACCAAAACGTGGAAGCTTTTATTTTTCGTTTCTGTGTTTAAATGGCACAATCTGCTTTACTATCAATATGAAATGCCCTGTTTGGTGAATTCTACAGTCGGTTTTGAAGTCAGCCAATTTACGCAGAATACGAATTACTGGCCCTGTGACTGAGATCCAGCCATCTATTATATAGCACAGTGTGAATGTAACGCTCGAGTCGCGCACTGATAGAAAATCTATACGCTTACTATGTGCCCTATATTCGCCTCTTCAGTCAAGATTAACTTAAATATTTCATCCCAGCTAAAAAAAACCCGGATGTTTTTGGTTCAGAATCTCCCATGAAACATGAGTAGCGAAATACGAAAAATACTAGGCTAACAAAAATATGTCTGTAAAAGAATCCAGGCTAGGCTAATTTTATGCCCACGAGACTGTTTTGTAAGGTGGTGTCAATTCATCTTAGTGTAGTACAGAAATCCAGGTGTAAAATGCACTTTGTGTATTTTGTTATCTAATAAAAGTCTCAAATCAGAACAAAGTTTCGCAAACAAGTAAAGCCTCCCCGAGCCCTGTACTCCCGCTCATATACTATAATTATTTACGGATCCAGGGTTTCATATACAGTTCACTTATTTTAGGATTTTCACTATAAGGGGCGGAACATGGGTGTGGTGCTGGGGTACGGCTTTCTCATCATTCTAAAAGGTTCGTACATAGAGCTCTTGTTCACAACACCCTCTCGAAGTGGAACATGCTAACTGAGTTCACGGCCCAGTTGATTCGCCGAATAAAAATCAATGTGTTCTTTTCCAGCCGTGTTTATGAGCAGCTACACTCTTCCACCATGTCGGTAACGTGTTTAATCAGAGCGGCTTTCTTGTCCGTTGATTTACGTGGCAGCTCAAAGTGGTCACACATGACCCTCAGTTCCTTCACAGTAAAGCGCGACAATGCCTCAGTCTTGACCAGATCGCAGATGTCGTAGCCATCATATGTGATCGGATGTTCCAGTCCTATTTGCGACAGCACCTCTTGAACATCCTTATCTTTGTTTTGTTGGTCCAGGTGTGCAAGATCTTCATCCAGCAGAGTATTTTCGTCGTCTTTTTCCACGTGTCTCTGAGTCACCTGTTTCTTCTGCGCTGCAGCAAGTCGGGAAAAGAAGGCTTGAACTTGTATCTTCGTCAGCCACTCGTCTCTCGAGAATTTTCTAGTGCCGTCTTGGTTTTTGGCGCTTCTCATATCCGCTGACACTTGAACTGGATCAGACTTTCTTCCAGTTTGTACTCCGACGTCAAATCGGGCTTGGAGATATAACTTTACGTTCTCTGAGAACCTTGTCCCACTACCCCTCGGTTTCTGCAAGGCCCATCCGGCTTCAGAAGACTCCGCATGAGTTGCTGTCATAGTGCTTTTTGCTGATGTAGGCTGCTTCGGTTTCTGCTCACTTACTGACATTGCTGAGAATTTCCGAACCCACTCGCGACGCAACTTGTCGTAAACACTTTCTTGATTTGTGCTGATGGGATCATGATTGCCAAAGTTGATGTGGTCCTGTAAGGCATCATAGTTATCGAATGAATGTGAGCAGCCGGCTTCGTTGCATTCGAATAGCGCAGTTTCTGTGTCAAGCTTTACACTTTGGTTCGTCTTTCCTTGTAGTTTTACACACCTAGGTTGAACATCCCAGAACTGTAGTTGGTTGGTGGCAGGTTTCAAGGTTATTGCACCGGGAACTTGGACGTCTAGGTCTGACCACAGCACGAGTTTTCCAGCTCCAATATCATAGGCTTTCCACATTCGCAGCCCAGTTCCCTCATATGAAAAGTTGTGAAAGGTGCTAAAGTTTGGGATGCGGTTTACCTTGATTTCTTGATCAGTGCGCTCTATCTCGCAAACAGCAGCTGTGCATCCCTTCACTGGTCGGACCTTGAGCGCTTCACGCATGTCTGCCGCCGACAGGATATCATTACCCTCGTTACAGAAGCGTCTGACCACGCCCTTCAGGGGGCTGATGATGCGGTCGCACACATCCTTCCCGAACTGCGGCTCCGAAAAGTCATACCTAGAAATCAAGGGTGAAAGCGCTTACTGGAAGTTGTTGTTATCTGATTAATCCTTAAAGTATCGAAACAAACATCCCCTTGATAAGAATTGAATTTTACTTTCCCGTTTTCTTTTATACAAATCACATCCGGCGCATGCATATTTCGGTATCCAGAGTGACGAGTTTATGATCTCTGCAGTGAAACGCAATGGAGAATAAAAAATACGCACGTGGCTACTTAGCGCACAGAGGTTATGAAATATATGAATGTAGCATGTTTGTTCCTTGAGCTGATATCTCGGAGTAGTAAAATGTTTACGATGTACAATAAGAGATATAAACAATAAAGCAATTACCTTAACACACTTATGCCAGTATGAACGTGAACCTCATTCAAAGCAGCAATCAGGTTGTTGTTGTGATAACATCCAGCTCCATCTGAACGCAGCAAGGCTTTGCTGATGTGCGGGTTGGCGATTTTCAGAGTCTTCAAGAGATGCTTAATTATCGCGTAAACTGTGTAAGAGTCTTGGGCACAATTGTCAAAGAGATGCACATAAGAAGTAACCTCAAGCTGTTCTCTGTCTGCTGGTTTTGATAGGACACAGCTTATATGCCAGTTCATCCCACGCTTTCCATACCATTCTGATTGTTTCTCGCGGTATTTCATCTGTATAAACTTCATGGCCCAATCCATCACTATGAGAATGGTATCACTCTGAAGGCAATTAACGGCATCAGTTTTCGCGCGATCTTGATTCTCTGCCCTTAGGATGTGGGCCTTCCACTGGAGAACCATGTCCTGTGCTTGAGCAGCATCGTACAACATGTCTTCTTGCTGGTCTCTGCTGTAGAACTGGACATCTTGTGAACCTTTAATCTCAGACAAAACAGAGCCCAGTGTGTTCCTGAGACTGTCGCAGCTTTCACACAGCTCCATATGATCATGAGTACAGGATGTCTTGAACTCTAAGCACTGCGTATCGCTAAGTGCGTGTTCTCTGCAGTGCTCAGCACACAGATTGTCGCTGTCTTCACGACAGTGCGCACGGTAGCTCGTTTTTAAGTAGCGCTTTGCTCCCTTTAGATTATCCCGAGATCCCTCGCACCATTTATGGCGTGCACCACACTGCTCCAAGTCATCCACTATTTTATTGAGGGTGTCAAAGCCTTCTGCTCCACTTGATGCCGTGTTATCTAAGCCCTGGAGTGACTTGCGCTGTGATGCCTCTCGCACTTTCAATATCCTGTATAAGGTGGACCTGCCTAAAGGCTGATAGTCTTCTTCTGTGCACCACTGATGATATTGCTCAATCATTGTTGAACGCCCTACAGTTCTGACTACGTTAGGCATAACCATCTGCTGACCTGAGTCCAGCTTAACTGTTCTCGTTCCAAAAGAAACATCTTGATAAAAATAAGGCTGGTCAACAAAATCCAAAAAGTGTTCTAGTTTCGACCTATCAATGCGTACCCTGTAATGAGGAACTTTTTCAACTTCGAGCCCAACTCCTACAGTTTTTGCATGTGTTCTTGCTTTCTTTATTTGGCGATCACTGAGCTTCTCAAAGGGCGCGTGCATTGCCTTCAGTTCGTGTGACGTATAGCGCAAGGCATATATACTTAGGATCTGTGTTTTCAGATTCTTGGTTGGTGCTTGCCTGTAGGCTGACGTCAGTGCCTCGACCTCTTTATCTGACCTGGAAGCACGCTTCACGTACGATTTCAGCAACTCCTCGCTAGAGCTTGGTGCGATCACTTTACACACTGCCCGACAGGCGTCGTCAACTTTCTCTTCGCACATCTGCTTTTCTTTCTCTGTCGCAGTGCCCCAGTCCACTTTCAGCCTAAAGGTCAACGGCTCTAAAATCTTGATATCGGACAGTCCAGCGATTTGAGCCATTGCGGTATTGTACACCTCAAATGTCTGGTCTGGAAAAGTCTGCATGTCCTCGCCTGTGCTGTCATCGTCCACTGACTCTAGTTTGAGCCATTGTCCAGGTGTCCAAGGGAAGTCACCAAGTGGTGTGGAAACAGTTGGGGTGTCTGGTGGGATCTCTCGCATCTCCGCCAAGGCCTTGTCTTTGCTCTTCCTATATGAGACACAAGAAGGCATTACCACATGACAATGATGGAAAAGCGACTGGCAAGAGACCTACTGCTAAAGGGAAGCTAGGGTGATTTCCCTCCGAAAACTTCAAGTTATGGAATTTAGCAGCATATAAGAGGCATATCTCTTCTAATGCCTGAAATCACCCCGACGGCCACGCCTACACCCAGAAATTGTTATTAGAGGGCATTTCATATCGATAATAAAGCGATTGTGCCATTTAAACAAACAAATAAAAAAATAAAAGCTACCACATTTTGGTTTGCAGGTCTGAACGCAATGCTGTTTGGGACAAACAATATAAAGTGATTGAAAAGGTGATCGACAACACTTTTTTCACGTTTTTGAACTTTTACGGTATTTTTTTCCTATACACAAACACTCCTTTATACTGTAACCAACAATTTAGTTTCTTTAATGGTCCGTCCCTTAGGCTCGTTTTTTAAACTTTTAGGGTATTTTTTCCTGGATACAAATGCTCCTTTATGTTGTTACCAACAATTACGTTTCTCTAATGGTCCCGTTCTTGGGGTATTTTCAGAGTACCGAGAGGGTGGATGGAACAAAGCATGTCGGCTTTTTATTACAACGCAAACAGGGCTAAGCTAGCCAATCCCGAACGAGCGTTCTCACGATCTTATCTTGCGCCAACAGAATTGTGTTTGAGCTATGACAAGAACTGAGGATAACTGTTTTTGCGCATTTTAATGTCAAAAACAAGAATATTTATATTAAAGATACCTAGTCAGCAGTACTGCATCATCTTCATCGCGTGGTCCCGCATTCGCGTTTCCTCCTTGTAGCCACGGCCAATTACTCTGGACCCTTTTGCTGTGCGCCTTTCTACAGCTACTACAGATCGCTTAAAAAAATCATACACGAGATTATTCATAATATCTGCTATTTGCGCAAGTTGTTTATGAGTCTCAATTATTTCAAATAAGAGGTAATCCAGAAAATAGGCAAATACTCACGTGCTCCGACAGGAACAAGAACACCGAACACTTCCATTACTTCCCTTGATACCTTCAAAGTAAATGCGCGATCTGTTCTGACCGCTCTGTGCTCTCCCTTGTGGCCAGGGTACTTGCATGAGCTTAACTTTGTCTGATTTCCCCAGTACTGCCCGAGATACGCACGGTGCTTCGGACAAACAAGTATTTTTTTGTCTCTGCGTTTCGGTCGTATAAAACAAACCTGAACGCACCAAAATCAATTCTCCCTCCATAATCCGTTCTCGACTCAAATGACATCGGGATAAATGTTGACTTAAATCGTTCCTACATTGATCTAAGCTTACAAGCTCAGCTATACCTCGAAATTCTCCACAGTCTCCAAACTCTCGTGTTTTCAGAAAACAAGTCGCCATGATACAAACTCTGCTTTCTCATCCACTTTGGTTAGGTATTGCGTGACAACCAGCTAATTTGCATATAAGGAATAGTGGTTTCCTTGACCTTAGCTCTATGAACCTAAAATATTTTTCCTTTATGATTTTCAAATAAAATTACAAAAAGCGTTTGTTTGAAGGTTTTGAGGAAACATTTAAGCAAATTTTAGAGCTGTGAATATTTTTTCGGTCAAGCGAGTGATCGATCAAGTAGATAAATATATGATACTAATTATAGAGTCAGAGTGCCATGATGGCCAAAATTACCTTCTCACCGCTAAGTGTGCAGGCGGATACCCGCAGATTTGACCTTAGAACCTCTTAAAATGAAGTAAGGCCTTGACCTTGATATAAATTTTATATCAGATTTTTGTCCCACAATTGAGATTTTAGCTCTCGAATCTGAGCATGTTTTTTGGCAGTCGGGTGACCTGCTCAAAGTGGTGTCTTTCGGGACTCACAGATTGTCTGCAAAATTATTAAAAAATTCGATATTTTGCTCATTTGTCAATAAAAGGCAGTGGAAACAGCTGGTGTAAAAGATATTTTATAATTCGTTTTAGTTTTGTTATGGCGCGGCCCTCAAAAACGACAAATTTCGGTCCTCAAACCGGGCTCTGGAGGAGACGAATTGGCCCGGACGTGATCGCGCCTGTAGGAAAGCGGAAATATATTATTTGCAAAAAAGAAAATCATTTTTATTACTTATATACTAAACCCTTTTAGTGTACAAAGTTTAAAGGGAAACTTTTTTCTGACGCAAAATCGACCGGACCGCTGTTAGCGGGACTGCCTCTTAAAGGAGTCTCGTTCCATTCTTTAAATAAACGTAAGAAGAACGGGGCCAGGGTAAGAAATCGTTAAGCTCTAGAGAAATCATGATCTACGAAGGTTGTAACGTTGAAGGCTAAAAAGTAAAGTTGTAGTTCAAATAAGCTGTGACAAATGGTTTAGTTAAAACTTCAGTCGTTATCTTAAGCAATTAGCCAAATTTTAACTTACAATTTCTCTCTCATAAGTACATTCGCCTTATTCCCACGACAGGTGTATTTTACAGTAATACAATAATCCTTAACTTTGCAGGCATTTTTCCAAATATTTTCGGATAACAAAGACGGCGTCCTTTCGTTGGATTATGTTGATATGGTAAGTAAGTGGCACCTGTATTTTTCAAGTGTGATAAAAAATATTTTAAAAGCTTTCAGTTCAATAACTTGAACTTTAAGTTCAGTTCGTCACGGCGAATCTCAATCGTCATATTTTTCAGTTGCTTTATTTTGCTGCTGACCCAGACCCCTTAGAAGGTTTTCTGCGCGGTCTGAGTGTTGTTTCCAACCAACCGATGCCGTCCAGTAAATCATTAGTGCATCTACCTCAGCCAATGACAGACGAATACGGCGGTGACGTCAGTGTTCCACAAATCCAGGTACGTTCGGTAACATTATTTAACATGCTACTGAAATATCCTAGCACTTCAACAAAAAAAGCTCGTTCCCAGGTTCTCGTCCTACTCGTCCCCCCTCTCCTTTTTGGTGGACGAGTAGGAAACTATCCTGGGACCGAGCTTGTGTTATGAATTTCGTTACTTTATCAAATATTGTAACCTTTTTTAAAGCTCTTTTAGTGAAAGACATCTAATTTCTCGTGTTTTTACCACTTTCCTCTACAAATTTGTAGTATAATTCCAATAGGCCTTTTTTTTAGTTTCTTCTAGCCTTATTTTCAGAATGAAGCTAAAGGTGATGTCTTTAAAATGAAAGTAGTTTCTATTCTCTTGCAAGTAAAAAACCCGTTTTCAATATGAAAGGTTGCGTACTAAGCCAAAGTTTGAAGGTGAGTGTTTTTGGTACTTGACATGGCTTATATCAAACTTTCAAAAGATATTCAACGACCTACATCTTCTGCGCTGGTCAATATTTTTTTATTTGAACTAGCTAAAAAATTAGCGCAAATAACGAAAACAAGTAAGGGGTCTCTACTGATTTTGATTTTGAATTTTTCCTTTTGTTTTTATTTGAAAAAAGCTTAAAATAATAGCGAAAACACAAAGTGGTCTCTGTTAATTTTGATTCTGAATTTTTTCCTTTTTGTTTTAGGAACCGCAATCACCACCACCTGAAATGAGTTCACTCGTTACACTGGAAAATTTAATGAGGGTAAGAGCGCATTATTACCATTGCCTAAAATTCATGTTCCTACAACTGCGCATGACATAAGACAAGTGCATCAGTTTGCATCAGCAGCTTAAACCTCAATACAACTTCTTGTTCTTGTTTGGTTTCGCAGTTTAAGAGAAGATAAAAGATTTCTTTGCGGAGCTCTTTGGAGACTTCTTTTTCAAAGTTATTGATAAAACATAAAAGACAAAGGTTTTGACAACTGATCCTGATTATGATAAAAATCCGGCGAAGTTTGCGTTGAATTGCTCCGATAATTTTCAAGCTTTGCGAAGATGTGCCCCAAACACTTTCAAGAGTGAATCCAAAGAACTCGAAGGTGGTTGTTACCTGCGTGCGGAAAACCAACAAAGAAAAGAAAAAGAAACAAGCACTCTATTCGAGCGTCAATGTATTTAGCACGAACGTACAAATTCGGGACACTATTTTTACGTCTCCTGCTTTAGACAGAACCACCATTTTACGTGGCCGTCCGAGCCAGACGAAGGCCTAGCCGTTTGCATGGCGTATACAGTACCTTCATTTCTCAGAGTTTTATGACCCTGAGTATTGGTCCGGTCCCGGTAATCGAGCTCTGCAGTCCCTAGTGCTAGGATTTTCCTAGTACTAGGATCTTCCTAGCTGAGAGGTAGGAAGATCCTAGCACCATGTAAACTGCCTTCGCTAGGAAGATCCTAGTACTAGGGACAAACGCGACAAAAATGTCGGCGGGTCGTTCATTGGCTAATTACGGCAATAAAGGCCGACCATTTCGTTTAGAGTAATCCACGAGCAGATTATTGTGCTAATTCAGCTGAAAGGCAGTTGATTTACGCCGGTGAAGAGAGCAGAAGGACCCAAATTACATTTTTGATTTTGTCGTCCGCCATTTTTAATTCCTTCTCTAACCTTCTCTACTTGGACAACTCACGGGCCGAAATTTCTGCATGTAAACCCAACGTAAAGTTATTCCACCTTCTAGGATCTTCCTGGTACTAGGATCTTCCTCCCTCCATGTAAACAGCCCCTTAATCCACATCTAACGCCATTTAACCACAGGCTTTCCGCCACGGCGAGGGAAGACTGGAAGACACTTATCGACTGAGTTTGACCGCTGACCCAGATGACACATTCGCAAAGGTGAGTGTTTCTTTCCCTAATTCCGTTTAACTTCTCTATGAATAGTTATTCTCTGAATATATGTCAAAGTAAAAGTTATATAGCAATTCTCACCAGGTTTCTCTCATTTCGCAGGAACGTTTAGCGGGAGTGTTTGCGGAGCTTGGTGCTGAGGAGAGTGAGTCCGTCCCATTTCACTTACTGTACCAGCATCCCATAATACAGGACTGCATGCACATGTGTCAGCGTTTTAAAACAGTTGTAAGTACTCTGTTCTGTAGTAGCTGGATTTTTTACTTTACAGATTGAACGAAACTTTAGGCTACAGGAACAGTATGAATTGGGGGCTATGGAATAACGTGAAATAAATATATTCAGAAATTGGGGAGGGTAAAACCAACTTTAAAGGAGCTATTCACGCTATTTGCTGTCTTTTTAAAAAGCTAAATATTTTTTCGCATCTACTGAATTTCAAAACTAATGATCCAGTTTTGTTATTGAAGACGATATTTAAGCATCAAAACTGTTCCTTGTCGTCTGTTGCAAAGAATGGCAAGGATGGACATGTATTGAAACGGCTCCATTGGTGAAATAATTTTGTCACGGTTCAAGCATTTTTAACAACAAGAAAATCCGGTTTTTTTCCGGCAAAATTCAAAAAGTTTGGAATTATCTAGCTGTATTTTTTAATACTAAGCTCCTGTTTCCAGTTTTTGGAGTAGGCGACATAATTTGATAAAATCTTACCAAACAGCCAAATGAATTAAGAAAAATAAACTAAAATCCTATCAAATGCAGACCTGATGATGTTCCCCTTCTCTTTATTTCAGGATCTTCGAAACTCTGTTAAGAGTACAGCTGTCGAGTGTTTTGAGTGATAGTACTAAAGCGGACGACACAGTTATTTATTCATTTTAAAAGCTATTCAGTTTTCCTCCCTCCGTTGAATTAGTTTTTTTATCTGAATATACTTTGCCTTGTACAGAAAGTACAATAATCTAATTATAATTCTCTTTTCTTCTTTAATAAAAAATGTTTTTAAACAAGGAAGCAAAACATTCCAACATATTTATTCCCGACCGCAACATATTTTCATAGCCTACCGACTTGCATTGTATTTTATCTAAAACGACAACAAGAAAGCAACAAGAACGGTATTTGTTTGGACCACATAACTTACTTGTTGCAGTAAATGCAAATATTCATAAAACTTATAACGACTTTGAACCCCTAAGGGGCCGACCATTTAACTCTTGAGGGGGGTGGGTGATTTTGAAAAAAAATTTCCTGCAAGCGCTTGTCGGAAGAAAAAAATTGCATGCAGCACGAATGTAATAGAAAGCTTATGGGAAAAAAAGAGAAAAAAATATCCTGCCCACCAGATTGCTAGAAAAAAAATTCCTGATGACCAGAAATCACCCACCCCTCCCCTCAAGAGTTAAATGGTCGGCCCCTAAGATAATAGAGAGGAGAAGTGTGACGTCACGTTACCATGGTAACAAAATTTATTGATCACAACAATAGAGTGTTTTCACTCACGTGACCAGCATCTGTGCAAATTTATGGGAACAAAAGAAAGAGTTTACATAAGAAAAGAGTTCAACTCCCAGAGGATTGGTTTGCAACACCAACATGGCCGCCGTTTTATTGTTTTGGAACACCGATATGGCCGCCCTGACGTCATCTGAAAACGCTCTGTAGAGAGTTTGTGCAACGGCGACAGCGAACAGCAAAAAAGCAATAGGTTTAGACTGGCAAAAGAACAACTTTGCACGTTCATCACGCTTCTTAGTGCATTTCTTAGCCGTTGTTGCACGACTGCGACATGAAACGTCCTAATTTCACAAAAATTTTCTTTTTCTTTTTCTAAACTTAGATACGGTCTTTTCGGTTTCGCCCACAATGAAATCAAATAAGATCGATGAAGTTTGAAACAGCGCGTATCCACTTTTTAAGTGACGTTTTGGTTTGTTGTGATCCAGAAATTTTGCTACCATGGCAACGTGACGTAACGACTTCTCTCTGTTGGGTCAAAACGATCAGAAAATATCAACAGGTCCCTCCTTTTTCCTAATACAATACAACGTAGAGTACGTAATACATCGTATTAAAGTAATAAGTCTAAAAAGGCCTATGTTCTCTTTTAACAGAAACTAAATAATACACGAAAAAACTGAGGAAATACCAAGCTTTAGGTTTGCGTTTCTTATGAACATGAAATTTGTTAAATCGCGGATGATAGGATTTTTCCGGTTGAATTCGCTCAAAGCATCTCTCCCAAAACAATCACAAGAACAATAACACGAAAGTTGTGAATGCTTAAACTCTTTTTTCCCTGAACTACCGTAAGCTGAGAACTGCGAATTAATAAGGTTTAGAATTGCGTTTCTCTTTCCAAAGCGAAATGTGGTAAATTTCGTATCAAAGGATGGTTTTTGAAGTTGCCGAAAAGAACACTTCCTGTTTTCCTGTTTTATCCTGAACTAAATAATACACAAGAAAACACCAAGAAATCACCAAGAAAGAGATTTTCTTCAGTTTTCTTTTCCTCTTTTTTTCCGAACATGAAATCTCGTAAGTCTACCAACATAAAGAGTTTCAGAATCCGCTGAAAGGAACAAACACAATTGCAGGGGAAATAAACAGTAATTTTTTTTTTCTACCTAAACATACCAAAACGATTTAGGCCTTGCTTCCCTGTAATTAAAGATGAACAACTAAAAGTACGGACTAACCCAATTATTGTACAAAACTTTGAAAGGCATGACTGGCTTATTGCCACGTTGACCTGACTCTTGGCAATCTGAGGTGATCGTGTTTTCTTCAAATACTTCCCTCGTCAGCTGAATTTCCTCTATGCCGTCCATTTCTTCTTCTTCTGTCGATCTTTCTCTGGCCGATCCATATTCAACTGCGCCAAATGGGTGGGGTGAATTTTCAGCTGTCATTGTTACTGTTAAACGGGCAAATCCCGGGAAGCTGCTGACGCATCGAACTAGTGGAGAATGTTGTTCTCGCACCGTCGTGTCGTTCCATTCTAATTCCACGGCACACAGGTCACCAGTGCTCACAGAAGACGAAGATGACGATGGTGACTGCCGCAAGAATAATAACTTGCGCAGTCGCTTCCATGTTCCATTTTGAGTTTGCGATTTGCTACTCTCTTTTCTTCTTGCACTCGAAGATGGGACATGCTGGATGCTCGCTCCACTTTCATCCTTTTCGAAAGAACTGGCTTTGAAGGTATCCGAGGTAACAAGAGAAACTCTGAACTTCTTGCTATTCATCTCTCAATTTGGTGCAAGTAGTATATGACAGGCGAACGGAATTAATCAGGATCTGATAGCGCTGTTGTGATGATCATTCCAATGTGGAAATTATTGAAAATTAACATTCAAGAATTCAGGATGGGCAACTTTCTGTTATTGTTCACAAAAGGCAGCTAATTGGAGCACTTTGAAAAATCAATTTAGGAAGTCACTTTGACCAATCAGAGGGTACAAAAATTGGGAAGTTGAGGTTAATTAAGGTTAATTAGAGGAGACAGCTATGGACGGCGAAAAAAAAACCTTGATAAATGATGTTAAGTCTATGTTAGAACTAAATTTTATAGCAACTTTTAATCTTTACGCATTTGTTATCTCTTTAACTTTTTTTCCTTCTTTCACTCTTTTTTTCAATAATTTAAATATTACTGTACGAAAATGACCGCGTTTCTTATCGCTCCAATTACGGATGTTTCTGTTTTTATTATTATTATTAGAGTTTTAAGTTGCGCAACTTGATGTAGCGCATTTCCTCCAGTATGTGCCTTCATTATGATTAAAAGCTTTCCCGCGAATAAAAAACAGGTCCTACTAGTTTGCTGTTCCCGATGACGGGCGGGAAAATGAGGACGCACGTCACAGTCACAAGACCTGAGAACGAGGCTGCTTTTTCCACCGGCAAAAAGGCAACAGTCACATCACGTGTCCAGCCTTGCAGCATCGCGTGGAACAGCTTGACGTTAAGTCCATGCATGTTTCAGCCAATCGTTTGAATGGGTCTAACCTAACTGCTGACCGTATGAAACAAGCTGGCTGACTGATAAGCGAAACGTAGTGTGCTCGAGCATTGATCTTTTAGCATAAAATTCTGACGCGACTGAAAGGATATCACAAGTCACAACATTCATTCTGGTCAATAAACCAGCTGGCTTTATTTTTTCAGTGAGGACTTCTCGGTGTTTTAGTCCCATAATCTAATTTCTCTTTCACTTTTCAGAGGTACTACTTATATAGCTTGATTAGAGAAGATTGTGCGGATGTTAAACTTAACGTAAACGTCCATAAAATTTCATCCTGGTGTACTCATTCAAGAATACGTCAGGTTTCTGTTCATAAGACAGCACGGCAAGAATGCGTGACTTACTGCCTTGCACTGGTGTCACGCGATGCATGGAATTGCGGCCACAAAATATCACGAGGGTGCCTGGCTGAAGATCGGCTTGTTTTACTCCAAGATCGCTTAGATCTTTTCCAGCTTGAGAGGCCAGTAAGGTCGTAGTTTTCATTTCCCGGGGATCTATAAAGAGATAGATAAACGGCAAAATAATTCAGTATCGCCATTAGTATAACAGCAAATGCCTCAATCGGATCAGCACCTTATCGTGTTGAGGCGGTTTGCGCGTCTCCTTGACTAAGAGGCTATGTCGGTTGTTCTTTGCTAAATCTGCCCATCATTTTAGGGCAGAAGGAGGCAAGGTAGCTATTTCTTCTTTTCCCTTCCCATTTTTCCCTTCGCGCTTTCTTCTTCACTAGGCTCCAGTCTCCTAATGGCAAAAAGGCCCTGCGGAGGACTGAGGCAAATTACGGAAGAAACTAAGGGCCTGTTTACGTGTTGGTAGGGGACCCCAGGTAGGTGAGGTAACCCGCTACGGTGGGGTAACCCGCCTGCCCATATAATCTCTCCTTTTGATTTGATCACGTTTACATGATAGGTGTGGTGACCCCCTCATGTTGCCACACCTATGTGGGCTCCCCCGTTTCCATGTAAACAGGCCTGCGAATAAATAAACATGTTTCTCGCAAGGTTAACGCTGCTGATGCCTTTAAGAGTACAGTTATTCTTGCTTTGAGTTCTGATGTAAAAGAAGGAAGAAAGGTTGTCTACCTTACGCAGCCCCGTCCTTCTCCTACATCATTCAGTGGCCTTAATATAATCTACCTTGTCGAGGGAATGTATTGGAAATGTCCACCTCTTTCAGGTGATTGTAGAAGAAGAGTGACTGCGAATTCGCCTCGATCAAAATGCCAGTTGAGTTGGTCCCTTTCTTTGTACACGTGGACATTTAATGCTCCTAAAGGATCGGCCGTACGATAAAGCACCTCCCTTTGCAGTAAAAGGCGAACAAAATCAGTCATCGCCTGTGACATGTAGAGCTTCTTTAATGGCGTGCTTGGATTTATCTGATCGTGAGTCACACATGATTTCGAAGAGCGAGAAATGATTTGGCTCGGGCGATTAAGTTCCAATTTTTCCTCCTTACAATCTTCTAAGTAAACGTTGTGGTCGCTTATTCCACGGAATGCTTTGGGTAAAACCTGCTCGGTGTCTGTGATTGTTTCTTTTAGGGCAGATGAAAGCATAAAGTCTGGAAGCAGAGCTATCCCTTTCTCGTTCAACTCGTGTCGCGCACGCTTGATAACTTCTACAAAAATGGCGCTATTTGGTTCGGTGATTGGATACCTCGAGTAGTTGATTATTCTTTCGATGTCACTAGTCATTCCTCTCGTCTAAAGTTCTCCTTCTTTCCTTTTTTTGGCTAAGTAACAGAGGTTTTCTCTTACCTGGGGTCAATTTAATAAAACTTTTACACGTGTAATTTGCAAGCGTAGTATATTGTTCTCAGGCTCTATCCTGGCTCTATCCCTCCCCAAGTCTAACCCCAAGTCTCCCCAATAGTCTCCCCTGACGATCCCGACCCCGATACCCCTCGGTCCAGTCTTTTGTTGGGCATTCAAGATGGCGGAATCGGAAGATGAAATTGATGTGGAAGACATTTCCGACGGCGAACAAATATCCAGCTTACGAAACGTGGTTGAAGATGGTCAGAACGAAAGCTGGTTTGTAGATGATTATTTTATAGTCTTTAACTTTTTTCTTCGTCTCAAGACACAAGTTATCATCTTAAATTAAAGTTCGTTGGGATAAACAGCTGATACACGGCAGTTTCGAGTCCAACGATTCTTGATATTATTAAGCTTAATATGCTTGTTTATCTGTGTTTCATGGTGCCACCTTTTCACCTGTTTGTTTACTTGTAGGTATGATAAAGACATTGGCAATCACAGTTTTCTAAACTCTTCAAGAAGCCCATTTTCATCTGATTACTGCGATGCCAATTCATGGCTTTTTGATACCAACACGGTGAGTGTACAATTAACAGCTGTTTTTAACAGTTCGAGAGCCATGCTTCGATTAAACTCATATTTCATATTTAACATAATTTTTTAATGTGTCAGGTCTGGTCCTTAGATCCTTCTACTGATGATAAAAGTAGAGCATTGATCGAAAAGATGATTCTCGAGGAACAGTATCCTTATCAAATAGTTTACTCATGTGAAGAATATAAGCCATGCACCGACGACAAAGTGATCTTATTAGCCGAACTTTGGTTCAGAAAAAAATTTTGTTTAAATGTTGGTCGTTAAAAAGATCTAAGCTTAAGTGTATAAATCCGTTAGGTAAAATAAGGGAATTATTTTCTGTGGAAAGTTTTGTGTACAGATGATGGACTGGATCAACTGAAGTGTTATTATGCCTTATTATTTGGCCTTTGTGTTAAAGGCTTTCAAATGTTCTCAGTGGTTCAGATTTATTCTGACAAAGGTTTAGCATTTTACGATGAAGGACAAAAGTGTTGACACTTCCGTAAAATGGCCCCTTTTTGCATAGTGAACATACCCTATCCCCTTCCCCTGTCTACCCCAACCCCTTCCCCCCAAAATCAAGGTTGTGTTTTGGACCCTCAAGTCTTTCTTTTGCTTCAGACAACATTGATTCGGGGGTCGGGGACTTTACGGTGTTTAAAAGGAGTGAAATAATAAATGAATTAAATGTTTGATAAAAGCACCAGTTTCAAACAAGTGTGTCAACTATTTTTGCCCCTGATCGTAGCATTAGTATCCTCAATTAGTGGACCTCTTTAGACAGTAGTAGAAGACTGAGGAGATTTGACACTTAAATAAACTATAGCTACATGTATGTACGGTGAAGCCCCATTAATACCGACACTTAGAGGGCCACAAAAAGTGTCCTTATTAGCGAGGTGTCCATGTTAAGTGGGTGTCCATAACCTAAAGTGGGGTTTTACTGTGCCAAGTATTGATGGAACACGTGTTTTGTGCGAACCACACACAACATGTAATTTACATTACTTTTTGGTTGTGATAAATGTTTCCTTGACTGGAATTAGGATGTATGTTTACAGGTCAGCCCCAACAAAGTCACATAAGCCTTTATCAGGTGAGATATGACACACAGTATATATAAAATACTGATATAATGGTGTACATACCGTAAACTTCTGCTTAGAAACCCCAAAAAATATCCCATTATAACCCCTTCCCGGATATGACCCCCCTCCCCCTCAAGCTTTTATTGAAATGAATTTGTTTTTTTACAACTGATGCAAGTGAATTCAAAAAGTATTTTGAACAGCTCTGCTGTTTAGCTTGTTTGGAAACGCTCTTTTAGTCCAGATAAAAGCACCCCCATTTGAAATTGATTAACTGCTTTGTTTTATAAAATATTTAAAACATATCTTGTTTTATCACACAGTTTCTTCAGAAATAAACAAGAGGAAACAACATCCTGTGAGAAGGTAATAATATATTTTATTTTACTGATACTGACTGATACATACCACTTATTAACCAAGAGTGAGGTCATTACAGGGAAATCTCAGAATGAGTCCTTGACGAGGTCAATGCGCTTTTGAGTATTTTTATAGAAAAAGTGCAATATAAGTATTAAATATTATTATTAATACATCAAGGCCTAGGTCTGAGATTTCCCTATAATGACTGAACGGATAACGTTAATAAGTCATTTTTTATATGGCCTTTTTGGCACCTTTTTCTTTAATTCAATACAATAAAAAACACCCGAAGTAATATTCAATATCCACATGCAAGAGGTCATTTGATGTCGTGTTCACTGAACGAAAATGAACCTGGCTTTAGCCACTTAACACCTTGTTATAAACATGGATTGACATGATGGACAGGTTACTGAGAACCTACTTTTTTAATCAGGTCACCAAGCACTAAGGTCAAAGGGAGTATCAGAAAATCTGGAAAGTAAGTTAAGCAGTATCATATGTTATTAGATTTTCCTGTTGTTTGGAATCCATCAACTTGCTTGCTCTGATCAGAGTGGCTGGGAAGCAGTCCGGAATCCTGTGATCTGGGCTTCAGTTTCCTGTGGTATTTTGATGATTGGTACCTCACTAATCTAATCTGATTGTGGTTTTTTTTTGGCTTAGGGCACAGTTTTGAATCAAATAATGAACTCAATAAATTATTTACTACAGCTCTGTTTTAATTAGTACTGGTAGCAATGCTTGATTGGGGCTTCATTGTTTTCTCATTAGGGAACCTTCTGTTACCCATAGAAAACCCTGGACTGTGGAGGAACAACAGCTCTTTGAACAGGGACTGGTAAATATATTCATCCTAATTTCCCTAGGGACTATTCTTACCGTGAAGGGAAGTGGTCATGGGTTTGCATAGTAGCTGTGGGCAGACAACATACTTACCTTAAATCAGGGCTCGAAAAAACCTTGAATTCCATCTTGTCCTTTGGGTAAGCAACTCTCCTATTTTCCTTGCTCTGGGCCATTTTTGCTCGTCTTAAGTAATGTTTTTGTTAGAGGATGACTTATTGGACACTTTTCCATTGAGCAAGTGAGCTTTTAAAAGCTGCTTTTCCCAGCATGGAAGTCTACTGTCTACTTGTCACGGACTACCGGATGAGGCTTTTTTGATCCTTGTTGTATGGCATCTTCTCCTACACCATCTTCCACAGTATTTAGACCACCTTGATTTTAATTGACAACTGAGTCGCTATCTGATAATAATAATTATTTTTCTTGAACATGCTCCAAGGATCTGTATGGGCGTAGCTGGACAAAGATTGCAAAGACAATACATACTCGAACAACTCTTCAAGTGAAGAACTATGCGAAACAGTATTTCAAACAAAAGGTATGAATCAGTGATGTTGGTGACAGTAGATAATATTATAATCGAAATGATTCTAGCAAAGAGTTGAAATGTTACTTAGGAGTCCCAGATCTGTACTACCCAAAAAGGCCTCTACATGTAAAAGGTGCTAAATTAAAAAAATTATTCTGGTGCCAGTGATCATCCTAGCGGAGCCCCATAGCTAAGAAAATTTGGTTGTCTATCCATCAGAAACATTTTGGTAGTCACATAACCGTACGTACGTCTGTCCACTGATCTGTCCGCAACACAGGGAAACCTTTGTGAAATCTCACATTTTGGAGCCTGCGAATATTGTAGATTCATTTTGTGGTCAATTGACAGTTGTGTGGTCAATTGACAGTCAGGTGTCAACCCATCAAGGCCATGTGTTTTTTTAACGTTATCAACTGGCAAGTTATTAGTTTTCAACTGATCGCAGGCTTAACTCCAGGTGGATTTCTTTGTAGTGGTTACAAGTTTATTGTTTGAAGTAAATTATAAATTTATGAACCAGGGTTAGAAATTCGTTTTTTTTTTGTCACAAGATGAAGATATCTTGTAGAGATGAGATCTACAACAGGAGCTTCACCTTTACGCTGAGCTAACTATACAGTGCTTATTGTGTGTTTTTGTATCCTTCCTTTCTCCAGAACAAGAGTCCTGTGACTTTTGAAATAAATGAAACTCAAGGAATACAGGAACAATGTGATGAAATGTTTGTGGTTGCCAATGTTGAAGAAGTTGTGAGTGATAATTGTGTGACTGAAGAAGATCAGAGTTGCCAATCCAGCAATGTTTTCCTTGTTTCAAGTGTAAACTCTGACTGTGCTGAATCAGATGAAGATATTGAAGTAGACATTGATGGCTCTGATAGTGAAGGGGATGATAATTCCCTAATTCCAGGTAATTAACAATAATTATTTGAAAAAAAAAATCAAGCAGACATTAGCAAAGGTCCTGTGATTTTCACTTATAATGCTTGTTTTTGTGCTAGAGACATTAATTTTGTCTGAGATATTAAAGCCGTCCTAAGAAAACGTCTAGTTTGAAAACGGTAAATTTCACAGAATATAAGATTTAACCTTCTTCATGTATTATATCTGTATAATAATATTCAAGTCACCTGAGGCTGCAATTGGGAGTAAATAACCCAAAGTTTACACTGAAAGTCTGTCCAATTTCCTGGTTTCTTCAAAGATTCTGTGTGTAAACACAGACTAAATCAGCTTGTAATAGGTAAACATTTTTTTCATGATAAAACAACCACAACAAAAATGTCCCCATCCCCTCCTCACCCCTGCTGTTCCTGGTATGTTGAACAGTAACTTTCTCAAATAAATGGTTGGTTCAATATCCTCAGGACCCAGTTGTTCAACGGCTGGATAACACTATCCACCGGATAAATCACTATCTGTTGGATTAAAACAATTATTGCCGTATTCTCTGGATAGTGATTTATTCACTGGATATCATTATCCAACTTTTCAACAACCTGGGCCTGAAGTCTAATGTGTAGGTATGGATCTAGGAAACTCAGAATTCAGAAAAGGGCGTACCACCATTGCTTTCCCCGTAAAATAATGAGTAGAGTAACAAGTGCAGAAATTCCATACTGATGATGCATCACTACCCAGATCTAGGTAATGCTTCTGATTGGTTGAAGCAAATTTTCAGCCAATAAGAAACACTTCCCAGATCTGGGTGGTGTCACGTCGTCGGTGTGGAATTTCTTCACTCATCTCTCAGGCGTCATCTTGGAAACCAGTGGTGGCATCACAAAATGTCAGCTGTTTTCTCAGGCTAAAAGGGGCAATAAAACTGGGAATTTTAATGATCATTATCATCTTTTTTTATAAAATCTTAGGTCAAACTACCTCTTGTCCTGAGGCTGTTTATTCAGCTCTTGTTCAAGCAGCAGCAGAAGAGGAGATAACACAGGTGAGTAATAAAATTATTTCCAGGGTCTCTGTTTTGCATCTTTTCTTACTTAAAGGAACAGAAGACCCGGGATGTGAGATTTGGTGAGTCAAGTTCTTTGTGGTCACAGTGCAAAAGAAAGCACACTAAATAAACATGGAAATAAAAAGTATATGACAGTTATTGTTCACTTTTTCATCTGCGAAATCATCCCTTTTATATCTTATTTCAAATAGTGTGCCAACAGCTTTAGAATTTCAACTGCACTTGGGCGCAGACATCTTCTACTTCCTTTGTTGCATGCAGTGCAACAAAGAAAATACTTTTACAGAGCTTGTTTTTTTTTCTTGTCATGAAGGCTTAAGGACTAGCTAAAACTTCTTGATTGAAAGGAATATCTGCAAAAAGTAGCCAGCATCAAAGGTCACTAACTCTTAATCATCCCTATATCTTATCAGTAACTGTTGTACTTGTCCCATAACCCTGGCAATGGGTTTACACTAATGTCACATGGTGCCAAGTGAACAATTTGCACCAGAACAGAAAAGGACGGAAAGTCTATTGTTCTTCCTTTCAACATGGCAACCAGCAGGTACAAAAGGCTGGTTACAGGTCAAAGGTCACGAGTGCAGGTTAGAGTACACTGAGTCTGGTAAATAAAAAACACTAAAAAATGTCTCCTAGCCCTAATCACAATCCAAAATAGAGCTTCAGCTTGAAGGGAAAATGATTATGTGAGTGGTTTCTCAATAGAGCAGTGACCTGCGCTTGTGATCTGTGACCTGTGACCTGCACTCTGTGCTTTGTACCTACCACATTGCAACCATAAAATTTAAACCTCCTATCTCAACACCTGGGGGTACTGCCATATATGGGCTATATAGATATGTGCCACTGTGAAGGGTATGGTTTTCAAGCAGTTTACTCTAGGATAGGGTATATAAATCAGAACATTTAGGTCTCGAGTAGGGCATCATTTTTCAGGAAACTGATCCATTGGTTGAAGATTTTATCTAGACTAGGGAAACAGCTACTCTAGGATAGGGGGGGGGGATTTGGGGAGTTTACTCTAATATAGGGTAGCAAAATTGAGCTGAACTATCTCTGGTATAGGTTAAGGGTTCCAGGGTCCCAGCGGCACATCCCCACTCAGAAATTCCTAAAGTACCCCCCCCCGGCTCAACACTCATCGCTGTTGTTATTGTAATTTTTCAGGATCCAGTGATAGAAGAAAATCATTTTATCAGTTCAGAAGAGAACAATTCCTGTGCTACCCACAGCCGTATCCAAGAGGATTCCAATAAACCTCTTTCCCCATCTTCTGAATGCACAGAAACCACTAGTTCAGTGGGTAGTGAATCAGGATCAAAGAATAATGTTGTTATGGACGACACATGTGAATTAAGAATTCTTGTCAGCAATGAAAGTGGCGTGGAAGGCAACTGTGATGAAATGTTGACTCCTGAGGTTTGTTATAACTGCAATGTTCATGAGGGTGAAGTAAACCTTGCTGATAACAAAAACTGTGATCATCTTCCAAGTACGATTCACACTCTTGATAAGTCACGTTGCGTGACACTAGAGGAGTGTCACGCTACACCTTTTGAGAAGTCTTGTGAAGAGGATGTAAAGGAAAAGAACATGCCGTGTGTTGTGATGGATTCCAATGCATCCCGTGACTCTAGTAAAAGTATTCCTAAGAATGACTGGCAACCAGTCACGTGTGGCGAGGTTACGTCATCGGAGCTCATACCGACCTTTGACCGCGAGCAACCTGCGGCGAGCACTGAGAATGCTAACGCGCTTCATAAGAACATTGTCATTGACAAGAATATTGTACAAGACGTTGAAAAAGAACATAATGCTGAATTTTTCATGGGAAGAGCGCTCAAAACTCCAGAGAGATACATAAAAATTCGCAATTACATTCTTGAAATGTGGGAGAAAAACAAACCAAGCTATCTATTTAAGACGGCAGTAAGAGGCGGGCTTCGAAATTGCGGTGATGTGAACTCTATTGGTAGAGTTCACGCCTTCTTAGAAGACATTAGAGCTATAAATAAGGGATGTCTCGATAGACCAGTCCCACGCGTCAGACAACAAGGAGAGGTTACAGATGCAAAAGAAAACGTCCAGATGGAATCCTGGGTAAATTCATTGAGACCAAGAAAGAAGAGGCCGAGGAACAGAGACTGGACTGATTCTTGTAAATCGGAAGGAATGACAATACAGGTATTTGAATTGTGGCAGTCTTAAAAGGCAGGAAAACAATCTCTAAAAGCAGTATTATCTCACTTTAGTTGAGGTTCTTAGTTTGGTTTCCATACTCAAACTACCCCTCCTCCCACCACCGCCCGAAAATGGCCTGGCTATTTCTTCAAGAAGCTTTCTTACTGATTCAAAAGCTGAAAGTAAGTAGAGAAGATAAGCATCACATTTACGTCAAACGGCAAACGAGAATCTGTACCTCGTGACCAAGTTTCCGCTTTATTTGTCGTTTACTGTTCATTATTTGTAACAAATTAGTAGTTTCACGCAATTTTTTATCCATAGGAATTTTTTTGAGCTGTTTTTATCTGCTCATTTTCTATTTTGAGAAATTTGTAACTTGAATTTGACGTTTGCCGTGTACGTGAAGCTTAAACTCTCTGGTGACAAAACAGCTCTCACATAAATCGAATACACTTAATACACGTGAACGCATAATATACAGAAACATAAGCCACTGCAGAAAGAAAAGCACATTTAGGAGGTATATTTAACGCCCTCTTCAACGCGCATGGTGTCCTCTAAGAAACGAAAACTGCAATAAAAGGTCAGTGTAATTTAAGAAAACGATAATTTCTTGTATTTCAGCATTTGTCCCCAGACGAACAAGCTTCTCAAGAAGGAACCTCAAATGAGAGCAGCTCCCTGATACCCCCTAGAAAAAAGTCCCCGCGTAGCAAGTCCTCGTACGACCCGTTTCTTTTGGTCCCCTGCCGGAAATTCCCGTCTCCGAGTGCGGTGCCTTTTGATGTTCTTATCCAATCAGAGACCTTGGTGGTAATAGACACGCATGCGCACATATCAACTACTGAGGTGATTGGTCTATTAGGCGGAACCTACTCATATGGGTCAAGGAGATTAAAGGTAGTTTTTCTACGAAACAGCTCTCTTACTGTGAAGGGTTGTTGGATAGTTGTTTTGTAATTTTTGTTGTAGAGATATAACTCAATAATACAAGTCGTTGTGCAATGCGATGCGGAACATAATCATCTTTTGTCGGTGGATTGACGGTTAAACGCTAACACTAAGGATTATTGCACATATAAAACATCAGCCGGCCAACTGTTCACAACGCGTAGAACTGAAATACACGTGTTTATTATTCATGTAGTATCTCCTAGCTGTCAATCACGAGCATGTCCAAAACCGGAAGCGGATGCACATTTTCTGGTTCTTTGTTTAGTTGTGGTTTACAGTTTTGCTCTGTCCTTTAAAACTGTCACAGTAGTTTATAAATTACCTGTGACCGATCGACTCCTTTGATCGACTTAGTGAAAAACGTTATGAGCATAGTCTGTTCGTTATGTTGTATTTTTATGCTGCACGAGGAAGTACTAATTTTTAAGGCTGTTGATGAATACAGCATGGAAACTTGTGTGATTCCCTCTTGAAATATTTTACTATATTAGGGAGCTCGAGCAAAGACGTTTGTGAGTGACGCACGTCAACCGGAAGTGAGGCCCGTGAGTTTGAACCAAACCACTGCCCAATGCTGCAAAAAGTCCACTTCCGGTTGACGTTCGTCGCTCAAAACCGCTCCTGTTGTTATTATATTTTGCCGTAGGTCTCCAAGGCGATCCCTTGTAGGAGCTTAAGCACTGGTCTTCAATGTGAAATGGACCCTGTATCACAGACCCAGGCCTCTGAGGACTTGGCGCATCAAGGACTGGCGGTGGTGGGCTGGTACCACTCGCATCCTACATTCGCTCCCATTCCCTCTGTCCGTGATATTGAAACGCAAGCAAAATTTCAGGTAAGAAACGGTGCACTGGTACCACAGGAGCCCTACTCAGATGAAGCTTACCCAGCTACTAAGGAGCGGGTACTCTCACGGGCCGTTAAAGCTCGAACCTCCTAGATTCCCACAAGAGTTCGTGGTGTCAGGTGTCAACTGCCGGTTCAGAAAGACTTAACCGTGTAGTGACCTTTTTCTTTCGTGGTCAGGGAAAATTCAGGGACTATTTTCTGTTTTATTGAGTGGCAAACCTGATTATACATATCTAGCCGGATTTTTGAAGAAGGTTACTCCCAAATGCACCTTCCGTCAAAATAGCTTTTTTCGGCCAAAGGTAGCCATCATAAAAACTAAGAGTGCAACCATTGCTTTTTTTCTCTTCTCCTCCTTTCTTCCTCCTCGCTGTTTCTTTTTCTCCTTTTTTTACTTCGATGGTGTGATTTTTGAGCTTATCGGGCGCAAAAAAACCTGCCTTTTGGCCGTTTTTCACTCAAATGGTTGCAAGTCTCGTTAATAGGTTCGTTTTTTTAAAAAATCGGCTAGATATTTATTGTAGAATGTATTCTTTTTGTACAGTGAATCCTCGTTATGGCGAACAAATTATGCCAATCCCTTGGCCCTTCGTTATATCGAGGTTGTTTCCCATATATTTTTCTACTACTGGGGTAAAGAAAATCGTTCGTTATACCGAGGGCTTCGTTATATAGAGATTCTTTATATCGAGGTTCCACTGAAAAGCAAACAAATTATGCCAGTCCCTTGTCCTTTCGTTGTATCAAGGTTCCATTGTATTTTGTTTTCTGTAAAAGGAATGGTTTGGAAAGGGAGGAGCACCGTTTGTTGGCATCATTGTCAGTCCCTACAATTACAGTAACCCATCCAGCCAATCACAGATCAGATGCCTGACAGTTAGCGACGAATGGGAATCTGCTGGCCAGTACAGATTACCTTACCAGTTTGATTACGAAGTGTATGAAGTCGAGGCTGATGAAGATGAGACGGTAGAGCAAGTGAAAGGGATAGCTGACGACTACCGAACATATCCATTGTAAGAAATTACATGAAATCTCTTAAAGTAAGAGGGGAGGGTTTCAGGAAGAGTTCCCTTTGCCTTCTTTCACTGAGAGATAGACTGATTAAAGTAGTCTATTTTTCTAAGATCTTCTAGATCGTTTCCTATGGTAACGGGCGGCCATCTTGGTTTCGTCTGTAACGAGGGCGCAGACGTCGAGGTGTTATATTGGTGAGTGAAAGGAGGCTTTTTTTCTTGCTTCCATCCAACCCATCCCCCGACCCCTAGATAGATTTGATACTCTCAAAACGAAGATGTCCGCCCATTGCAATAAGCTCTTGTTATCAACGATCTTACTTAAAAGTTGAGGACTATAAACAGTCTTCCTAACTGGAATTGTGGTCGTTTCGCCTGAAGCCCGAACATCAATTCGCCCGACGGCGTTTCGCCCGGACTTAAGTCGATTTGCCGAGTGACAGATAACAATCTGTAACGCGGTGAACATACTTATTTCAGACGATATTTTAGTTAACCTTGGATTCCACATATGCGGTCACTGTCTTTCCACGCTTATTCCCTTTTTTCGAGGTTAAAGAACGACAAATACGCATAGGACGAATGGACTTAAGTCCGGGCGATCTGCCGTCAGGTGAATCAACTTTCGGGCGAAATAGCGTAGTGCCACCTGACATAAGGCTTGTTATGGACTACAAAAACACGGGCCATTTCTAGGCTGCTTGTGAGAGTGGGTCAATGTTGTGTCAAATTGCTGTTAACCCATTCGCTCCTGGAGATTTTGCCGAAAAACGCGTTTTGAAGCTAGTCGAGTGGTTTTCTGGTCACTGTCGTGCTATAAAGAGCTAAAACTTACCACAAACTGGTTTACAGGTCGAACACTTCGCGGTCTTCTGATCCAGATGTAAAATATCAGCTTGCGAAGTTCGGGCATGCGCAGAAAGCAAAATTTTCTCTCCTCCCTTCTTTTTTCGCTTTTCTTGCCTCGTTTTTTTTTTCTCTTGCTGGGCATTTAGTGGGCTTCATTTTGGTGGGAAGAGTTTTTAGGAAAGCTTTTAGGATCTTAGGATTAGGTGAAAGGAAAGGTAGGTGGGTAATGGAACAAGATTTTCATGGAGATTTTCAGGTCAATGTCACGTGGTTTTTTGCTTGTTTCTCCGGTGTCCTTGACTGAATTGTGCTCATTCTAGTGTGGTTTGAAAGATCTCTTCACTCTGCACAAGTTAGCGAAGAAAGTTATCCTTGACCGTTAAAACTGATGACGTCACAATGGGTAGAAAGGACCTGGATCCGCACGGGCGGTTACGGGCGGTTCAGGGGCGAATGGGTTAATGATAGTACCACAGTACTCACCCACTGGAGGTCAATTAAAATTTTCCTAACTTTTTACGTTCTCCTTATTTATTTTTTCCCTACAGTCGTGTTCAGCTGAACAGAAGATTTGGTTCCTCTTCGGACTTCAACCTCTTGGACAAACTTTTGGAGTCTCTGCGGGCTCGAGTTGCTAGCAATTCCAGCGGTAACAGAGAAGCGTTCGTAAATAGAATAAAGGAAGGAATCGCTGAAAACATCAAACCTCAGCCAGCCATTCAGCAATGTGAAACTATCGTAGAGAGTTTTCAGCAGGACTAAATTGCAGCATCGTTCATCCTATCGGAGAGTCTCAGATATACTAGTGTTCGTTCTAAACTAGAAGCATATAAAACTTAACTATGTTATAGTTGTTGTCGTTTTTGTGTGTTCTCTTCCTCATGTGTCTAAATGAACGAGCTTTAGTTTGGCACTTGTAAGGTTAAGAATTTTTACAGTGCTGTGATTCGCAAAACAATTATTACTTTAAAATGACATGTCTGTACAAAGAAATCATTATACCCTGAGGTGCCTACGGTCGAGAAATTCTCAATTGTTCAGAGTTAGAGCAAAAGTATTTATTTGGATGTACATAATTATACTATGGAAGATTATTTATCGAAGATATCTCTAAAAGTGAATAAAATGTAAGGATGAGTGTAAAACACGAGTTCGTTTTTCTCTGGCGTCGCCACAGGAACAACCCAGTCAAGAAGGAAGGATTCAGTGCAAGAAGCGGCGCACAAAGTTTACAAATTCCCTTTTTTTTGTAGCGAAATACCTGTGACCCGTTTAACAAAAAGCGGGGCCGATAATTATCATACACAACAATTCTAAGACGGAATCCATCAGGAAAATTAGTAACCCAGTCTAATATCTATAGAACAAGCCCCTAATTTCAATTTTCAGTGGACAAAAACCTTGTACCAGAATAATTTAAACAACATCGCATTTTACATTTTTCGAGGGCTATAGATGTGATTAGTTATCTGTAATAACACCAAAGAAAATTTCTCATGAGAGCCCAAGAAAATAAATGTCTATATAATGTCACAAACTGACATCTTACATGCCAATTGAATTTGCAGAATTTTACCCGTGTTTTCACAATTCTTGTCTTTGTCTAGTCTTTGGTGTTATTGCAGATAACTTATTTTATCTACAGTCCTTGAAAAATGTAAAAAAAAAAAAAAAGCTATGTTGTTTGAATTATTCTGGTACAAGGTTTTTGTCCACTGAAAATTGAAATTACTCAATTTCCTGATGGATTCTAGCCTGCGAAGCGCCAGACGCATTTCCGGTCGTCGCTTCTCTCCCTCCGAAAAATATTCTTCGGAGGGAGAGAAGCGACGACCGGAAATGCGTCTGGCGCTTCGCAGGCTAGATGGATTCCGTCTTAAAAATGTTTTCCCACTTTGAACGGGATAACCTGGGAACCAGAGTACGTGTGTTCTATTTTGGTGTCAGCGGTATATAAATGAGAAGATAGGAACACGAGATCAGAAGGTACAAAATCTGAAAAAATGCCGGTCGGAAATTGCTCCCAATCGGGACAGAAATGGCCAGAAAATGTTGGAATTTTAGCGATGGAAGTGTATTTTCCTTACACTTGCGTTAATCAGGAGAAATTGGAAGAGTTTGATGGAGTAAGTAAAGGAAAATATACGATTGGATTAGGTCAGCGTAACATGGGATTCTGTGGCGATCGTGAGGACATCAATTCTTTGTCTCTTACCGTTGTGCACAAGCTGATGGAAAGAAACTCGATCAGTCCCAACGATATCGGCAGGCTTGAAGTTGGGACGGAGACCTTAATCGACAAGTCGAAGTCCGTGAAAAGTGTTTTGATGCAACTTTTTGAAAAAAGTGGAAATTCGAGCATCGAAGGAGTTGACACAACTAACGCATGTTATGGAGGTACACAGGCCCTTTTCAACGCCGTGTCTTGGATTGAAAGCAGTGCCTGGGATGGTGAGTTTCATACTTAGTTTGCGATGTGTTAATAAAGGAGTTTTTGACCGGCGATCATTGGCACGAACATGTGAGAAAAATCACCTGTTCTACAGCAGTTGATCATGTGCTTCAAACTTGGGCCTTTTTTCGCATGGCTTAAGTCTGCTGCATATTCTCAGATTTAATTCCTTCTGCATGTTGAAGCCATTTCTCAGGAGGGGGAGGGGGATTAGACGTCCTCAACTAAAGTAAACCTGGAGTCTGCAAAGCTTTCATTGAAAATGGGACAACGTTCTCCTTGACTGACGAATTTTAGATCCATAATTTGACTTAGAGGCCCGTACTGTACAGATTCAAAGCCCAGGTTTTGATTAGTAATCCCTATATCAGATGATTTTAACATAGTTTGGTCTTTCACTCCTTTCCAAAGTATGTGCCAGTACGGTGCCCTTAAAATTGGCTGCAGTTAGAGCTCTCTACATTTACTTTTGTAGGAAAGGTCTATTAAAATTATTTTGAATGAAAAAAAAAAATGGAAGAACTAAATTTGACACTGACCAGATTGATTGACCAGTGGCTGATAAGACAAAGTTTATTTGCAGGTCGTTTGGCAATTGTTGTTGCCGCTGATATTGCAGTTTATGCTGCTGGAAGTGCCCGTAGCACGGGTGGGGCTGGAGCAGTGGCAATGCTGGTGGGGCCAGATGCACCCCTTGTTATGGAACGAGGTAAGGATGTCTTCTCACAAATAACTAACTTGGAAGTGTTGTAGTTCAATTTTGCCTTTGGTTGAATCTCAACTAATGGCTAAGTTTTAATTGTTTATTTTGCTTAAAACTTTCTTGTTCCCAGAGCTGCTAACCTTTTCCCCAGCACCACGGATCGAGAGCTTTGCTGGCTAGCGCCAAACAGTGAGTCTGTGGTTTTTTTTTGCGTAAACTCAGAAATTTGAAATGATAACTGTCACAAACAGTTAAAAACATGGCAGCTACCTGTATTACGCTTGAGCATTATCCTGGAACCAGCCAGAGCTCTCAATCCTTGGCCCTGGCCAGAATGATTGCAGCTGGATGAGAATGAGTTCAAAAGAGAACCAGTTCATGACGTATTCTTATCCCTCATTTCATGGTGAGACTCCAAATATTATTTGGGAATTCACTTTTCTTTTTTTCAAGATAGAACTAATCTTCACTGATGCTTTGTTTTGTCATGTAGGAATGAGATCAATACATATGGAACATGCCTACGATTTCTACAAACCAAACATGTCCTCTGAGTACCCAGTGGTTGATGGAAAGCTCTCTGTACGCTGCTACTTTCATGCATTAGATCAATGTTACAAGAAGTACACCGACAAAGGGAGGACACTTTACCAAAAGACACAGTTCTCTCTTGATGACATAGATTATGCCATATTTCACACTCCTTTCTGTAGGATAGTGCAGAAATCATTAGCTCGGTTAATGTTTCATGATTTTCTATGCAGTACAGAAAGCAGTAATTCTGAATCAGAAGGAGATAGATATGCAGGTCTATTACAATTCAGGTATGTGTGTGTTTACTTATGAATGCTTAATGAAATGGTAACTTTTTTATATTAGCCAGGAGTGAATATATCAAAAATTTGTTTTGCAGTGTCAAGTAAAAATAAGTGCCAATTTTGTGGTCTGTGTTTAGTGGTCTTGAGCAAAGCCATAGTTTTTTTGTTAGGTAGCATTTATGGTCTTCCAAAACGTAGGGATAACATTCGCAAGACATATTATTTTTCCTTATTTCCTCGAATAAGTGTCTGTGCTCTAATAAACACCCTCCCCCAAATAAGCACTAGGCCTAAGTATCAAACAAGCCTCCCCCTTGTACAAACGTCCCCCTTCCCTTCCCCATTTCATTCTTTAATAGTAGGCATACAAGTAAAACCTGCTTCTTTTGCCACTTTATTGATAACTGTCTGTATACTGTATAAATGGGACCAAGTTACACTTGACTACCAACAGGAGAACTTAATAAGGGTCCCCCTTGATTAAGCACCCTCTTTTCATTTAGCCAAAATTTTAATTATGGGCCTGAGTGCTTATTGAAGAAAATACAGTATGTTCACTTCTCGTTATAATTAACCCCTTCCCTACTGCCACCATTTTACTATGCCACCAACAGTTTCTCTGCAAATAACATCTGAGAAACTAGCGCAGAAATTCCTCATTGACTATGTTTCAGTACTCTGATCTGGGTAGTGCTTCTGATTGGTTGAGGTGACCGAAAATAGCCCGTAAATGCAGACATATTCCCGGTTGTTGCTTCTCATCACCCAGAATGTTAATTTACTTTTCGGGTGCAGAGAAGCAACAACTGCAAATGTACGTTTGCATTTACAAGCTAACCCAAATATGACTCTCCAAAAATTTGAGCTTTCAGCACTTACTTTTTCACCTCCCTCTTTACTCTATTTGAGTAACTGTTGCCATTATGATCAATTTAGTAATTCTCTTGATGATATTCTTTCAACTTAGGAATGTCAAACTTGAAGAAACATTTCAAGATGAGGCTAAAGCCAAAGAAATAGAAAAGGCATCAATGAAATGTAGTCAAACCATATATGATAAAAAGACGGCACCATCACTGTTCCTTTCCCGTGAAGTTGGCAACATGTACACTCCATCACTGTATGGCTGTCTTGCCTCACTGCTGTTCAGGTATGACTGACAGTAAACTCTCTCAGCAGACACTTCTGTAAAATGGACACTTTCTTAAAAGGGCACCCAGGGCACTTACCAAAAGTCAGAACTGGCCACCTGGACTCAGAGGTCATTTTGAAAACAAAATACTCAAATTTTTCACTTAGACCAGTCACATCATAGACTGATCACTGGATATCCCTGATCAACAGTTCAATTGTCTTTATGGCCAGTTCTCACAAATGGTATGTGTCCATAGAGATGGTTCCCACATTTAATTAGTCTTTTTATTTTACTCTTTCCAACGTGAAAACCTTTCTCTGAAGACACGACTAGAGCTTGTGTCTGCCTTAGACAGTTTACTATGCACTCTTTTTTATGTAATCTTTTTATGAGATCTTTATAAGCTGCAAACCCATGGGACCTTCACTGGGTCTGTTTAATAGTCAGAGGTGTCTGCTACATACAGGCTCATTTACAGAACAGGGGCCCGTTTCTCGAAAGTCCCGGTAACTTTATGGGCCCGAAATCAAATATTCAAATCGAAATATAAAGAATAAGAGCGCGGGTCCTAGCTAGCAAACTACTCCATTTTGTTTCATTAACTGACAGTTTTATCGTGTCAGATGCAAAACTGTTGAAACCTCGATCTTAAATGTAAACGGAGACAGCTTACCGGGCCTGTTAATTATCGGGACTTTCGAGAAACGGGCCCAGGCCCCAGTTGTTCAAACGTTGGATAGTGTTATCCACCAGGCCCCAGTTGCTCAAAAGCTGGATAGCGCTATCCACCGGATAAATCACTATCCATTGGATAAGTATTACGAAAATTAATTGTGTTATCCACTGGATAGTGATTTATCCGGTGGATAGCGCTATCCACCTTTTGAACAACTGGTGCTGGGTAGAAAAAATGTTGAGCCTCAATGATGTTTGTTTCCAGTTGTCATAAGTTGTCTGCTTTATTGAAAGCCTGTTTAATACTGGTTTCCCTTCATCTTTAGTAGAACATTGAGGCTGAAATTGACCAAGATTTTGACACAAAATGTTGGTTGCGAATGTACCGAGAGGGTGGGCGTTGGGATTTATTGCTGTTGGGAAAGGAGGCTAGAAAAATAAACTTGTCGCCTACTCCCAAATTGTCCCCTGCCCTCTAAGTAGATTAGATGTGCATCTTCAAGCTAGACTCGGTCAAGGTTGCCGCCTGTAGCGCTCGTTCTCGACGGTGTACGATCGACAATTAATCAGATCTCTATGATCATACTGTTCACTGTCTTTGAACAGTCTTCAGTGGACACCACAGTTGAATTCGAATTCCCACTGAAACAGCCGGTTTTTAAAAGTTTTTACAAAGGGAAAGCGCTCTAGGTTTCAAGTCATTTTTTGGACTCGTCGGCCGTGCGTTTATGTACACAGTGTTTAAGGCTTCGTTTCATCGTATTTGTTTAAACCCATGAGTTAATTTTTTTTGTCAAGAGATTGATTTTTATAAGACAGTGGCTTTTTTGATTCTCGTTGTATTCTATTTACAGTGAACCACTTGAAGATTTAGCGGGTAAACGTGTACTATTCTTCTCCTACGGTTCTGGTCTTGCCTCCGCTATGTTTTCATTTCATATTTCCAACAACGTTAGTTCTGGCTCTCCTCTCAACTTATTGGTGACGTCACTCAAGGACATCCCAGAACGCTTAGCGTCCCGGTTACAAGTTGAACCAGAAGAATTCGTGAAGACTCTCACCGCACGCGAAATCACTCATAACAAGAATAATTACTCGCCAAGTTGTTCTGAGAACGAGCTCTTCCCTGGCACCTATTATCTGACGAATGTTGACGAGAAGTTTCGTAGGACTTACCAGAGAACTGTGGACGAATCCTCCAAGGAGGGTTGCATGGTTGTTTGAATTGAACAGACCACAAATTTGGAGAATGGATAGTCAATGCGCTTGGCTGGTTTTCTTAGCCATGGATTCTTTTAATGTCTTCGTTGGCAAGTTCTTACATCCATATACTCAATTGTATCTTATTTCTACTTTATGAGCCTTTGGAAAATCGAATTGTAATATATTTTAGCACGTTTGAAACTTCACTTCCACTCGAGCACAGTTGTGCCAGTCCGAGCAATGGGAGGTGTTGCAAAACATACCTTCTTGATTTCAAAGTTTACTTTATTTTGCGGGGTGGACAATCTTGTAACCAACTATTTTGTTAATTAAACTTGCTCGATTGTAATACCGCCATAAAGCTAAGATGTCATCCGTTTTCTCTTATGTATTGACTGACCGGTATCCCAGGAGAAAAATTTTATCAGAACCCCCTTTTTATCATTTAAAGCAATCTAGTACCCAAAACCCCTTACCTTCCTTGTCACGGCAAGTCGTAAATAGGGAATACAAATGAAAAACTGCTGGAAAATGCTAAAATAGGCATTCAAAGATTTTTCAGAATTTCCCGGTCTCGTGTGTTTCGACGGGAAGGTGATTTACCATGTTAATTACCTGGTAATTAGGTTCCTGTGTTCAAATTTGGCTTCTTTTGATCTCTTCTGCGTGGGAAATTAAGGGAGATTTGCCCCTGCTAATTACTTGGTAATGAAGAGTATTTTTTTAACACGCGACGCCCTTCCAAAACAGTTTTCTGATGTACGAACAAATTAATTTATTTTCTAATTACTTTTGCATAAGTACTGAGGAAGTATATGCCTACCTAGAATATTATTTTCCGTTTCCAACCATACCATGAGTTAAAATCGAAGGTGATGTTTGGCATGTTAGTGTTTGTGAACAGAGCGTCACTTCATACTCGAAAAACTCATTTCTTGCATAGCACAATGCTACTTTACTTATATGTCTGGTAAATACGGTAAATTCAATTAACTAAATTACGCATTTAAAGAAGTTAACGTTTTAAGGCTAACTAGTTTAAGAAAGGTAATACATTACTTCGGATCTATCGACTATTTCGTTCAATTTAATCGAGTTCCTGAAAAAAAACACTGTTCATTTTTCTCTGCTCTTTGCTATCACGTTGGAGTTTCTTTTGATTGTGGGCGTGGCTGAGGTCACATTCTCTGAGGACCTGGATGGGTATGAGAAAGTTCAGAGAACACAGCAGCTAGTCCGGAAAACTTGGTTCAACGATGAAATTTGTTGGAATGACCAAGACGAAATCGATGAGCCTGAGGATCTTGAGTACCTTGTAGCAGTCTCTTCATGTAAACCTGATATGCTGCATCGACCAGAGCTGTACAAACAGTGTGACTCGGTTGACTATCAAGCAAACTATGAAGCGATTGCCATAACGGAATTGAGTGACGGAGAACAAGCAGCCAATTGTTGCCGCCAAGCGTTCGCCGTGAAGGGTGGCTCTAGCCCTGGGATAACGTCGGCATCCAGTGGCCGAAGCTTGATCACTATTAGTGATCTAGAAGTGAATTTAGCGGAACAAAGCCCTCTTCCCTGCAAAATATTCAAGTGTTTTCTTCGGAATTCAAGGGTTGCGAGTCGTCGAGATCCAATTTGCGAAGAGCTTGAGAGGGTTACAGGCCTTGAGAAAGTGAACAGGGTAAGACTCAGCCTGTGGCATCTCTGGAAAGAACTCAAATTATTCTCCCGCGTTCTACTATCCGAACGCTTGAAAGGCGTATTTTCGTTCTAGAATATCGTAAAACACATTTTCCTGGCCTATATTGCTCAAAAAAGAAAAGATGGAAAAATGGCCAATTTTTGACCAAAACCATGGACTAACCCCTTCAGAAAAATCTCAATTTTTCGACTATTTCAACTTCTTGTTTTGATAGCTTAGACAAACGTTTTTTCCTTCTAGAATATAGGATAACACATTTTCCTGACCTATATTGCCTAAAACAAAAAGATGCAAAAATAGCCAATTTTTGACCAAAACAATCGACTAACCCCTTTAAAAACATCTCAATTTTGTGGCTTTTTCAACTTCTTGTTTTTATAGCTTAGACAAACGTTTTTTCCTTCTGGAATATCGAAAAACACATTTTCCTGGCCTATAATCGCTAAAATAAAAAGATGGAAAAATGGCCAATTTTTTACCAAAACGATGGAGTACAGTAAATTTTTCGACTTTTTCAACGTTTTGTTTTATAGCTGAGCGACATTTTTTCTTCTAGAATATCGAAAAACACATTTTCTTGACCTATATTGCCTAAAATAAAAACATGGAAAAATGGCCAATTTTTGACCAAAATCAAAAACACACTCCTTTCAACAAATCTCCATTTTTCGACTTTTTCAACGTCTTGTTTTTGTAGCTTAGAGAAACATTTTTTAGTTCTAGAATATCGGAAAACTCAACTTCTTGGCCTATATTGCCTAAAAAAAAAAGAAAAATGGCCATTTTTGGACCAAAACCATGGTTTGAAAAAATGTCAATTTTTCGACTTTCTGAACTTCTTCTTTGTATACCCTACAAAGGCGTTTTTCCGTTTTAGAGTATGGTAAAAGGTATTTTCCTGGCCTACGTTGCCTAAAAAAAAGAGTTAGAAAAATGGCCATTTTTTGACCAAAACCATGGAAAAAAGGTCCATTTTTCGCCTTTTTGAACTTCTTGTTTTTATAGCCTAGAAAGACGTTTTTTCGTTCTAGAATATCGTAGAAGACATTTTCCTTGCCTATATTGCCAAAAAAAAAAAAGTTGGAAAAATGGCCATTTTTGGACCAAAGCCATGGCTTAACCCCTTTGGAAAAATGTCAATTTTTCGACTTTTTGAACTTCTTGTTTTTATACCCTAAAAAGGCGTTTTTTCGTTCTAGAATATCGTAAAACACATTTTCCTGGCCTATATTGCCTAAAAAAAAAAGAGTTGAAAAAATGGCCATGTTAGGACCAAAACCATGAGTTAACCCCTTTGGAAAAATCTCAATCTTTCGCCTTTTTAAACTTCATGTTTTTATAGCCTTTTTATTTCCTAGCCTATATTGCCTAAAAAAAAAAATGGAAAAATGGCCATTTTTGGACCAAAACCATTGGTTAAACGCTTTGGAAAAATGTCAATTTTTCGACTTTTTTAACGTCTTGTTTTTATAGCCTAACAAGGCGTTTTTTCGTTCTACAATATCGTAAAAGACATTTTCCTGGCCTATATTGCCTTTAAAAAAAAGTTGGAAAAATGGCCATTTTTTGACCAAAACCATGGGTTAACCCCTTTGGAAAAATGTCAATTTTTCGACTTTTGAACTTTTTGTTTTTGTAGGCTAGAAAGGCCTTTTTTCGTTCTAGAATATAGTAAAAGACATTTTCCTCGCCTTTATTGCCTTTAAAAAAAAGTTGGTAAAATGGCCATTTTTTGACCAAAACCATGGGTTAACCCCTTTGGAAAAATGTCAATTTTTCGACTCTTTCAACTTGTTGTTTTTATAGGCTAGAAAGGCGTTTTTTCGTTCTAGAATATCGTAAAAGACATTTTCCGGCCTATATTGCCTTTAAAAAAACAGTTGCAAAAATGGCCATTTTTGGACCAAAACCATGGGTTAACCCCTTTGAAAAAATGTCAATTTTTCGACTCTTTGAACTTTTTGTTTTTTTAGGCTAGAAAGGCGTTTTTTCGTTCTAGAATATCGTAGAAGACATTTTCCTGGCCTATATTGCCTTTAAAAAAGAGTGTGAAAAATGGCCATTTTTGGACCAAAACCATGGGTTAACCCCTTTGGAAAAATGTGAATTTTTCGACTTTTTTAACTTCTTGTTTTTATAGCCTAGAAAGGCGTTTTTTCGTTCTAGAATATCGTAAAAGACGTTTTCCTGGCCAATATTGCCTTTAAAAAACAGTTGGGAAAATGGCCATTTTTGGACCAAAACCATGGGTTAACCCCTTTGGTAAAATGTCAATTTTTCGACTTTTTGAACTTTTTGTTTTTATAGGCTAGAAAGGCGTTCTTTCGTTCTAGAATATCGTAAAAGACATTTTCCTGGCCTATATTGCCTATAAAAAACAGTTGGAAAAATGGCCATTTTAGGACCAAAACCTTGGAAAATGTCAATTTTTCGACTTTTGGAACTTTTTGTTTTTATAGGCTAGAAAGGCGTTTTTTCGTTCTAGAATATCGTAAAAGACATTTTCCTGGCCTATATTGCCTTTAAAAAAAAGTTGGAAAAATGGCCATTTTTGGACCAAAACCATGGGTTAACCCCTTTGGAAAAATGTCAATTTTTTGACTCTTTCAACTTCTTGTTTTTATAGGCTAGAAAGGCGTTTTTTCGTGCTACAATATCGTAAAAGACATTTTCCATGCCTATATTGCCTTTAAATAAAAGGTGGAAAAATGGCCATTTTTGGATTAAAACCATGGGTTAACTCCTTTGGAAAAATGTCAATTTTTCCACTTTTTGAACTTCTTGTTTTTATAGCATAGAAAGGCGTTTTCTCGTTCTAGAATATCGTAAAAGACATTTTCCTGGCCTATATTGCCTTTAAAAAACAGTTGGAAAAATGGCCATTTTTGGACCAAAACCATGGGTTAACCCCTTTGGAAAAATTTCAGTGTTTGGACTTTTTGAACTTCTTGTTTTTATAGCCTAGAAAGGCGTTTTTTCGTTCTAGAATATCGTAAAAGACATTTACCTGGCCTATATTGCCTTTAAAAAAAAGTTGAAAAAAATGGCCATTATTAGACCAAAACCATGAGTTAACCCCCTTGGAAAAATGTCAATTTTTCGACTCTTTGAACTTCTTTTTTTTATAGGCTAGAAAGGCGTTTTTTCGTGCTAGAATATCGTAGAAGACATTTTCCTGGCCTATATTACCTTTCAAAAAAACTTGGAAAAATGGCCATTTTTGGACCAAAACCATGGGTTAACCCCTTTGGAAAAATGTCAATTTTTCGACTTTTTGAACTTCTTGTTTTTATAGCCTAGAAAGGCGTTTTTTCGTTCTAGAATATCGTAAAAGACATTTTCCTGGCCTATATTGCCTTAAAAAAAAAATTGGAACAATGGCCATTTTTGGACTAAAAAAATGAGTTACCCCTTTGCAAAAATGTCAATTTTTCGACTTTTTGAACTTCTTGTTTTTATAGCCTAAAAAGGCGTTTTTTCGTTTTAGAATATCGTAAAAGACATTTTCCTTGCCTATATTGCCTTTAAAAAAAAGGTAAAAAAACGGTCCTTTTTGGACCAAAACCATGCGTTAACCCCTTTCGAAAAATGTCAATTTTTCGACTTTTTGAACTTCTTGTTTTTATAGCGTAGAAGGGCGTTTTCTCGTTCTAGAATATCGTAAAAGATATTTTCCTGGCCTATATTGCCTTTTAAAAAAAGTTGGAACAATGGCCATTTTTGGACTAAAAAAATGAGTTACCCCTTTGGAAAAATGTCAATTTTTCGACTTTTTGAACTTCTTGTTTTTATAGCCTAGAAAGGCGTTTTTTCCTTCTAGAATATCGTAAAAGACATTTTCCTGGCCTATATTGCCTTTAAAAAAAAGTTGGAACAATGGCCATTTTTGGACCAAAACCATGGGTTAACCCCTTTGGAAAAATGTCAATTTTTCGACTTTTTGAACGTATTGTTTTTATAGCCTAAAAAGGCGTTTTTTCGTTTTACAATATCGTAAAAGACATTTTCCTTGCCTATATTGCCTTTAAAAAAAAGGTAAAAAAACGGCCCTTTTTGGACCAAAACCATGCGTTAACCCCTTTCGAAAAATGTCAATTTTTCGACTTTTTGAACTTCTTGTTTTTATAGCCTAGAAAGGCGTTTTTTCCTTCTAGAATATCGTAAAAGACATTTTCCTGGCCTATATTGCCTTTAAAAAAAAGTTGGAACAATGGCCATTTTTGGACCAAAATTATGGGTTAACCCCTTTGGAAAAATGTCAATTTTTCGACTTTTTGAACTTATTGTTTTTATAGCCTAGAAAGGCGTTTTTTCGTTCTAGAATATCGTAAAAGACATTTTCCTGGCCTATATTGCCTTTAAAAAAAAGTTGGAAAAATGGCCATTTTTGGACCAAAACCATGGGTTAACCCCTTTGGAAAAATGTCAATTTTTCGACTTTTTGAACTTCTTGTTTTTATAGCCTAGAAAGGCGTTTTTTCGTTCTAGAATATCGTAAAAGACATTTTCCTGGCCTATATTGCCTTTAAAAAAAAGTTGGAAAAATGGCCATTTTTGGACCAAAACCATGGGTTAACCCCTTTGGAAAAATGTCAATTTTTCGACTCTTTGAACTTCTTTTTTTTATAGGCTAGAAAGGCGTTTTTTCGTGCTACAATATCGTAGAAGACATTTTCCTGGTCTATATTACCTATCAAAAAAACTTGGAAAAATGGCCATTTTTGGACCAAAACCATGGGTTAACCCCTTTGGAAAAATGTCAATTTTTCGACTTTTTGAACTTCTTGTTTTTATAGCCTAGAAAGGCGTTTTTTCCTTCTAGAATATCGTAAAAGACATTTTCCTGGCCTTTATTGCCTTAAAAAAAAAGTTGGAAAAATGGCCATTTTTGGACCAAAACCATGGGTTAACCCCTTTGGAAAAATGTCAATTTTTCGACTTTTTGAACGTATTGTTTTTATAGCCTAAAAAGGCGTTTTTTCGTTTTAGAATATCGTAAAAGACATTTTCCTTGCCTATATTGCCTTTAAAAAAAAGGTAAAAAAATGGCCCTTTTTGGACCAAAACCATGCGTTAACCCCTTTCGAAAAATGTCAATTTTGCGACTTTTTGAACTTCTTTTTTTATAGCCTAGAAAGGCGTTTTTTCGTTCTAGAATATCGTAAAAGACATTTTCCTGGCTTATATTGCCTTTAAAAAACAGTGTGAAAAATGGCCATTTTTGGACCAAAACGATGGGTTAACCCCTTTGGAAAAATGTCAATTTTTCGACTTTTTGAACTTCTTGTTTTTATAGCCTAGAAAGGCGTTTTTTCGTTCTAGAATATCGTAAAATACGTTTTGCTGGCCTATATTGCCTTTAAAAAACAGTTGGAAAAATGGCCATTTTTGGACCAAAACCATGGGTTAACCCCTTTGGAAAAATGTCAATTTTTCGACTCTTTCAACTTTTTGTTTTTATAGGCTAGAAAGGCGTTCTTTCGTTCTAGAATATCGTAAAAGACATTTTCCTGGCCTATATTGCCTTTAAAAAACAGTTGGAAAAATGGCCTTTTTTGGACCAAAACCATGGGTTAACCCCTTTGAAAAAATGTCAATTTTTCGACTTTTTGAACTTTTTTTTTTTATAGGCTAGAAAGGCGTTTTTTCGTTCTAGAATATCGTAAAAGACATTTTCCTGGCCTATATTGCCTTTAAAAAAAAGTTGGAAAAATGGCCCTTTTTGGACCAAAATTATGGGTTAACCCCTTTGGAAAAATATCAATTTTTCGACTCTTTCAACTTCTTGTTTTTATAGGCTAGAAAGGCGTTTTTTCGTTCTAGAATATCGTAAAAGACATTTTCCTGGCCTATATTGCGTTTAAGAAAATGTTGGAAAATTGGCCATTTTTGGACCAAAACCTTGGGTTAACCCCTTTGGAAAAAGGTCAATTTTTCGACTTTTTGAACTTCTTGTTTTTATAGCATTAAAAACCGTTTTTTCGTTCTAGAATATGGTAAAAGACATTTTCCTGGCCTATATTCCCTTTTAAAAAAAGTTGGAAAAATGGCCATTTTTGGACCAAAACCGTGGGTTAACCCGTTTGGAAAAATGTCAATTTTTCCACTTTTTGAACTTCTTGTTTTTAATAGCCTAGAAAGGCGTTTTTCGTTCTAGAATATCGTAAAAGACATTTTCCTGGCCTATATTGCCTAAAAAAAAAAGTTGGAAAAATGGCCATTTTTGGACCAAAACCATGGGTTAACCCCTTTGGAAAAATGTCAATTTTTCGACTTTTTGAACTTCTTGTTTTTATACCCTAGAAAGGCGTTTTTTCTTTCTAGAATATCGTAAAAGACATTTTCCTGGCCTATATTGCCTTTAAGAAAAAGTTGGAAAATTGGCCATTTTTGGACCAAAACCATGGGTTAAACCCTTTGGAAAAATGTCAATTTTTCGACTCTTTGGACTTATTGTTTTTATAGGCTAGAAAGGCGTTTTTTCGTGCTACAATATCGTAAAAGACATTTTCCTGGCCTGTATTGCCTTTAAAAAAAAGTTGGAAAAACAAAAAATTATGTCCCAAACATAATTACATTTTTGCGTCGGGATACCTGTTGTTATCAAGCACTGGCTGCGTGAACTGGGTACTAGGTAACATGTGATCGAGCATTGCTTTATAGTACGTTGCGCGAATACGAGGGCCCCTTTCTACCTCTACACCATCGTGTGGCAAGTTATCTGTTCAAATTTTTCAGGCAAGTTCTTTTGTGTTTTTCTTTTTTGTCGGTATGGAACAGCCGAGGGTTCTGATTTTGGGTCACTCCTTTATACGTAGGCTCCGGGATTTTATTATTAGGAATAGTCCCACATATAACCTTAATTTAAACATTAATACCCCGGTTACAATTCATTGGCATGGCGTTGGGGGTCGAACAATCGATAAGGTTAGGCGGTTTGATTTAACCGAAGTAGAACGTTTTAAACCTGATGTTGTACTTTTACAAATCGGTACTAACGACCTCACACGCCGTCGGTCCTCTCCAGCATCTGTTGGCTCTGCCATCGAGGATTTGGTCTGTTTACTTCATAATGAGTACGGGGTTCGTTTAGTTTGTGTTGGTCAAACCGTTAAAAGGCACCCGGTTGGGACGTTCAATGCAAACGTACAAATCCTGGCGCAGTACCTTCAAGGGGTCTTAGAACCGCTCCCCTTTGCCATATATTGGACGCATCGGGGATTTTGGCGGGCTTCCCGTTCATACTTGTCATACGATGGTGTCCACTTAAATACAGAAGGGCAGCATAAACTGTACAGGAGTGTAAGGGGGGCAGTACTGCATTGTTTAAAACGCATAAAAACATAAGGAATTTCTTGCCCAACCAGTTTTAATTTTTGGCAAGTTCATAGCCTTGGCCAAGGAGTTGCGTTCAGTGGGCTTTTGGTGTCTTTTTATGTTCTTTCCATGTGCTTTTGTTGCAATTTAATAGTTGCTTTGGGATTCTGTGCATTCCTGTGTGATGCCCATCCCTGATTTATGTCAATCATTGTCTTTGGAATTTGTTGCGTTATGTGCCTGAGTGACAACCAAATCCGGCCGTCGTTGACGTGCCCAATTCACTCCAGCTATTAACGCTTTTACATGTGTCTTTATAGATACCTATGTGATCGGCCCGTGACTGACGCTCTCCCATCACATATGATGACATACGATTGTTGTAGCTGGTTAATGGGCATCCTGCATTTTTGAATTAGCGTACAATGCATTCTGCCCCCCTTGATTCTCCTTGTTGTCTAATCCCGACTTTGCCTATAACATGTCCGAATTAACTCTAGCTAAGTTTTATAGGCCTTATTAATCAGCATGCCGCCACGAAGGAAATCGCGACGAACAGCAGGACCGTCAGACGATACCGTCAGCGTCCAATTTGTTCCTGACCCGGTCGAAACCCCCCCCTCCCAAGCGGCTGTTGAGGCGTCTGCATCTGGTGTGGGATCGGAGGGCCTTTCTGATGCAATGGTTTCGTCTATTGTCGCTGCAGTGACAACGGCGATACAGTCGACCAACGCGGCTCAGAATTCTTCCCGTTCCATCAATCTGGTCACCGACGCAGTGCAACGCGATGTGCAGTCCCTTACCAATACTCCAGTTGGGGCCGTTGAGTCGTCAGGTAGCGAGATATTACCCAGTGCGCCTTTATTTTCTAGTATAGGTGTACCCTTAGGTAGCCGCTTGAGTGCACGCCTAAAGAATAAGATCTGGGCGGAGGAATTCGTCAACTTTGGCTCTCTTCTAGATATGTCCCCTAATCCGGATAAGTTCGCATTATCTATCACCGCTCCCACCGCCGGAATTGGGTCTAAACCCCTAATTTTACATTCGAACCGGTACACAATGCGAAGAAATTGACGTCTATTCACGAGTGGGTGTCGGCCTTCCACTCTTTTGTTGCAGTCTACTGCGAAAAATTCCCCAGAGAGACGCCAAATTTGATGCAATTTTGCGAAACAGTGCGCGACATCGCCCACGTGGGGGACTGGAACTATTACGATGAACAGTTCCGGTATCTTCGTCAAGGCAACCCACAAACGTACCCTTGGGGAGTGGTACATTGGGAGTTATGGCATCGCGCGGTGACTTTTCGTGCCAAATCTGGATATTTTGCAACCGACAAACCCAACTCGAGGTTCAGGGGAAAACAATCAATGGCCAGAGGGGTGTGTTTCACGTTCAACGCCGGTCGTCCCTGTGCGGGCTGCAGATATGACCATAAATGCTCCAAATGTGGTGGTAGACATGCAGCTACGTCCTGTCAATCTGCCTCGAACATTCCCAAACCAGCCGGAGATAGAACTATCGCAACTCCATCGCATAATAAACAGCCCGCCAGTAACGCCGGTAAAAGTATCCACCCTTAGCCCCTTTTACAACAATACGACCCTCGTCTTAAGCAATTTTTGATTGATGGCTTTTCGTTTGGATTTCGCGTTGGGTTTGTTGGTACTAGCCAATTACGTCTTGCTTCAAATTTGCGCAGTGCGAAGGACCAACCTGAAATTTTAGCTGCTAAACTTGAGAAAGAATGGTGCGCTGGGAGAATTGTAGGTCCATTTTCTCGTCCACCTTTTGATAATTTTATTTCTTCACCTTTAGGCGTAGTTCCAAAGAAAACCCCAGGGGAATTTCGTATTATCCACCATTTGTCATACCCAGATGGCTCGTCGGTGAATGATTTTATTCCGGATCAATTTTCGTCGGTTCAATATGCTTCAATAGGTGATGCTATTACACTCATTAAGTCGTTAGGTAGGGGCTGCTACATGGCCAAGACCGATATAAAATCAGCTTTCCGCATTATTCCGATTCACCCTGACGATTACCATTTACTGGGTATGACATGGAATAATTCGTACTTTTTGACCGGTGTCTGCCCATGGGCTGTTCTTCGTCTTGCGCTATATTTGAAGCTTTTAGCACTGCGCTCGAGTGGCTTGCTAAACATTATCTCTGTGTTTCCGGTGTTTTGCATATTTTGGATGATTTCTTGTTTATTGCTACCTCTCAAGGCAAATGTGCCTCCGATTTAAACAACTTTTTGAGCCTGTGTGATAGTTTAGGGGTACCTATAGCACATGAAAAAACGGAAGGTCCTTCAACCACTTTACAGTTTGCTGGGATAACACTCGACACGATTAATATGGAAGCACGTCTGCCGGACGATAAGCTTCAAAAATGCAATGCTCAGTTATTGGACATGCACAGACGCCGTAAAACTACCCTGAAAGAACTTCAATCTTTGATTGGATTATTAAATTTTACTTGTTCAGTTGTTCTACCTGGTCGGGCCTTTCTTCGGCGGCTTGTTGATCTCACAAAGGGTGTCCGTCTCCCTCGCCATCGTATACGGATTACTGAAGCCTGTCGTCGAGATTTATTAGTATGGCTTCAATTTTTAAGAGATTTTAACGGCCGTACATTTTTTCTGGACGATCCGTGGCAGGTTTCACCGCCTCTCAACCTTTACACCGACGCCGCCGGCTCAAAGGGCTATGGCGCACTTTTTGGGAAACATTGGTTTTACGGAGAATGGCCTGCCAATTGGAAATCATTGAACATTGCATTTTTGGAGCTCTTTCCGATTACTATCTCGCTCCACGTGTGGGCATGTCAAATGAGCAATCAATGTGTCTCTCTGTTTACTGATAATGCGGCTTTGGTTGACATTATCAATAAACAGACTTCAAAACACCCCATGATCATGATCTTAGTCCGTGACCTTGTCCTAACATCACTACGTCATAATATTTTGTTTCGGGCTTATCATATACCCGGTGTTGACAATACCCGGGCGGACTTAATTTCTCGTTTACAGATTGTAGATTTCAGGAAAGCATTCCCAGATGCCGACCCAGAGCCAACCCTTGTTCCCGAGACCCTTCTCCCGCAGAAGTGGTCGATACGTTAAAGGAATTACTACATTCCTCATTGTCGGAGCAGTCTCGCAAACAATACTCACGTGCTTGGGTTGTCTTTACTGAATTCTATACCCGCTATCAGGGTGCCGATTTACATTTGCCTGTTTCGACAGCGTGTATCGCATTATTCATTTCCTTTTTATGTGCCAAGGGCCTTGCTCCTGCTACCATAAACTCGTACCTATCAGCAATAGCATATGTACATAAGATCAAAGGCCACTACGACCCGACCAAATCATTTTTAGTTGAAAAGCTTCTTGTGGCCGTTGGCCGCCGTGGTCAAGCCGATGTTCGTATGCCCATTTCACGTCCATTATTGTACGAATTAGTTAGAGCTTTACAGCATACTAGCCCATCTGCCTATCGTAGATCTCTGTTCGGGGCAATGTTCATGACAGCATTTTATGGTTTCTTCAGAATAGGTGAATTATCTTGCAATAGTAAACAGCAAGTTGACACCGTTGTGCAATTTGATCAAGTCACTTTTTGAAACAATCTTCTCGAGTGACGGCTGTCAAGATTGTGATCACTAAGTTTAAACACAACACGAATAATCGGCCGTTTGTCATAACAATAGAAAGCGAACCTTCAGAACCGTTTTGCCCCGTGCAGACCTTAATCGACTACATTAAACTTAGGGGTTACCATAAAGGCCCCTTGTTCACGTGTGCAGCCGGCGGGGCAATCTCGACAAATAATTTTAACACTGAGCTCCGTCGTGCTTTGAACTTTTGCGGCCTTGATTGTTCTCGCTACAAGAGCCATAGCTTTCGCATTGGTGCAGCGTGCCATGCGTCTGAGAAAGGTTTTTCGGATTCGCAAATACGTGCCCTAGGTAGATGGAGTTCGGACGCTTTTAGAACTTACATTCGTCCGCCTTCACTCAAGGCTAACTAATTGTTTTTAAACGTTTCAAAGACACTAGTCAAGCCGCGGTTGGATCTCCGTTGTATAGGTCAGTCAGGAGCTGCTATGCAGTGGTGATTTTCACTACGGCTATTTAAACATCCGTTATGGGACCAGTATTTTTTGTCTTCATCTCTGGTTAGCTTTCACGGGCCACGGTGGATTCTCTGATGCGTGGGTCAGTCAGGGGCTGCCATACTGAAAGGGTTTTTCACTGTGGACTCTTTCCGCTATCACTTACTATGTACTTTACCAATCTGTTCTCATGTACTACTTTATCAATAGGTTATCTGTCCTACGAAGGAGCTACGGTCCTGGCACGAATTGCTATGTTATTTAACCTCTGTTTTCAATGTCAGTTCGCGTGCGGTTCATGACTAGGTCAGCCAGGGGCTGCTGGAAATGACCGTACTTTACAAGATTTTCTTATATCCTCGCTGTTTTCAGTTAAAATATTCCTCGGGGTTCTTAGTTCCGGATCTTGGTGGGGTGGTCACACGCTGTGTGCCTTGTGGCGGTTATTTCTTCCCCACCTTTTCCGAAGAGACATTCAATTACTTAATTTTTTCCATGTCACGTCACGATCTGATTAGTTTGTTAAGCGTGGCGTGACTTTTTATTGTTATATTAATAAATACGTCACAATAGTGGCCAATTTTATCCAGCCATATGAGTACATTGTCTCTTCGTAAAACTAGTGCGACCCGGAGCTAATTACCCCTCGACTACCTAAGTTCGCGAGATTAGTAAATCCGCAATATATTACTTTCGGAAAGGTATCGTGATGTAAAAACAAAAAATTATGTCCCAAACATAATTACATTTTTGCGTCGGGATACCTGTTGTTATCAAGCACTGGCTGCGTGAACTGGGTACTAGGTAACATGTGATCGAGCATTGCTTTATAGTACGTTGCGCGAATACGAGGGCTCCTTTCTACCTCTACACCATCGTGTGGCAAGTTATCTGTTCAAATTTTCCCACCTACCTCCCCCTCTTCGCCAGCCAGTGTTTAGTTCTCTCTCGGAAGGCGGTTATTTCTTCCCCACCTTTTCCGAAGAGACATTCAATTACTTAATTTTTTCCATGTCACGTCACGATCTGATTAGTTTGTTAAGCGTGGCGTGACTTTTTATTGTTATATTAATAAATACGTCACAATAGTGGCCAATTTTATCCAGCCATATGAGTACATTGTCTCTTCGTAAAACTAGTGCGACCCGGAGCTAATTACCCCTCGACTACCTAAGTTCGCGAGATTAGTAAATCCGCAATATATTACTTTCGGAAAGGTATCGTGATGTAAAAATGGCCATTTTTGGACCAAAACCATGGGTTAACCCCTTTGGAAAAATGTCAATTTTTCAATTTTTTGAACTTCTTGTTTTTATGGTTTAGAAAGCGTTTTTTTGTTCTAGAATATCGTAAAAGACATTTTCCTGGCCTATATTGCCTAAAAAAAAAAAGTTGGAAAAATGGCCATTTTTGGACCAAAACCATGGGTTAACCCCTTTGGAAAAATGTCAATTTTTCGACTTTTTGAACTTCTTGTTTTTATAGCCTAGAAAGGCGTTTTTTCGTTCTAGAATATCGTAAAAGACATTTTCCTGGCCTATATTGCCTTTAAAAAAAAGTTGGAAAAATGGCCATTTTTGGACCAAAACCATGGGTTAACCCCTTTGGAAAAATGTCAATTTTTCGACTTTTGAACTTCCTGTTTTTATAGCGTAGAAAGGCGTTTTTTCGTTCTAGAATATCGTAAAAGACATTTTCCTGGCCTATATTGCCTAAAAAAAAAAAAGTTGAAAAATGGCCATTTTTGGACCAAAACCATGGGTTAACCCCTTTGGAAAAATGTCAATTTTTCGACTTTTTAAACTTTTTGTTTTTATAGGCAAGAAAGGCGTTTTTTCGATCTAGAATATCGTAAAAGACATTTTCCTGGCCTATATTGCCTTGTAAAAAAAAGTTGAAAAATGGCCATTTTTGGACCAAAACCATGGGTTAACCCCTTTGGAAAAGTGTCAA